TGGATGGTGCAGAGAGCAACCACGTTGAAGGTCTTCCAGGGGAGAAATACCGATCTGCCAACTAAGCTGCAGAAGCAAGTCACCGCAGACGTGCTGGCTTCTTTTGGTTGGAATGCAGGGAGGTACAAGGTCACCCTAGCCGGTGACAAGGCTGCATGGTGGAGAGGCAAAGGTGCTGAAGGGGAACAAGGAAATCCAGACATCCCCCAGCTGGATGAAGCACGTACGGGAACACACCACAGCCAGCGCGTCACAACCAAGGTACCCGACACTGTCATTTCCCAAGTCCTGCTACAGCTCAACAGGATCTACCCGGGAGATGCAGGTACCAGGGATCTGGTCAAGGAATTGAGAAAGCACCATCCCAACCGTGACATCCCTTGTCAGAAGGATAGCAAGCACGCCTACAACATCTACGGCTGGGGTCCATTCAGGATGAGGTGTGCCGAGTGGACGTGCAAGCACAACCTCAATGCAGGCAACTCCTACATCTGGTTTGCCAATCTCATTGCTACGGGACAAGTACCAGGTCATCTACTTGGTCTGCCTCCAATTGAAGGTCTCCCTGTGGCTGCCCCACCACCTCCTGTCAATAGGATCACACCCGAGCGTGCCAAGTTGATTGCCGCGCGTCAGAGCCATCTCGCTAAAAAGGCAAAACTACTGGCATTCAGGACGACACCCAAGAGACCTGCCCCATCACCATCCCACCCTCCTCACACACCCATCTACTCAGATCAAGTCAGTCTGATCAGAGGTTCCAACCCCCCAGCATACCATACAAGTCACACTGCAAAGGACGGCAACTGTATGTTTGGAGCCATAGCATTTGGCCTCGGTCATGGCTATACCGCAGCCAAGGTCAGGGAGGAGGCTGTTGAGTGGATACGTGTGCACTATGAAGACTACCTCCCCTTCATAGAATATGGAGAAGAAGGACAGGCAGCAGCATTCAGGGAGTACTGGCAAAGAATGAGCCAGTCGGGTGAGTGGGGTGATGAGCCAGAGATCAAGGCCATCTGCGCGTGTTACAAGGTCAGGATCTCAGTCCTGAAGAGACGGGTGGACGGGGGTCTTTTCTGGAGACACCATGGTCAGCCAGAGCATACCAAGTGCCTCTGGCTCTATCTCAGTAACAACCACTATGAGAACCTGTACCCTGCTCATCACATCACCCGGGTCTGGTGAGTGACGGGTTGTGGTGTCTGCGGTGTCTGCGGTGACTGCTGAGCTCATGTTGTTTACTTTGTCATTCAGATGCCCCACGCGTGACGTGACAGACAACCACTTGGGCAAACAACTCTGCTGTTTGGACAATACACATGTAATGATTAGAATGACCTTGTTGACTGAATGGCATGTACATGACAGCTGTGTGAAGGATGGCTCATGTGGATGGTGAGAATAGGTTGATGGACGGGTGGGGACTTGCACGCGCGGTGACAGGCTGTTTGTTTACTTTTTGCTGCCCCCCTCGCGCGAGACAGCCTGATGACGTGGCCACCAGCGCGCGGGACAGACCTCCTATGGATATGCTCAAGTCACGTCAACAACCTCACCCCCAAACTGCCCAGCGTGATTTCTAAGTCATTTCACCTTCAAAATGGTCCAACCAAGCGGGATAGTGTTCTGGAACTTTCAGACAATTTCATTTTTTGGGAACTTTAACTTTTTTTTTTGACTTTTGAGGTCATTTTGACGTGTTTTTGACCCGTAGCAGTCACAACAAGGGCCCAACCACAGATTGGATAGTTCATTTCTACTGTCCAAAGGTGCCTCTATCCATTGGTACAACCCTGGGAGCGCTGGGATGAGCGGTTCTCAAAAGTGTGTTTCATACCCCGGGGTGGGAACCCCCTATAAGATACGATATGATACGATACGATATGGTCTTCGCTTCGCCTTCACCTTCTTCGGCGCTTCGGCGAGGAAGTGTCTCTGGCTCTGGACGTGGGATCGCAATTCATGCCTTGCTTGTCCGATCCATATCTTACGGAGCCGTGTTCTGTTCATGGGGGTAAGGGTCGCGGTCGAAGACAATCTTGAACCTTCTGACAGTCTAGGAGGAATTCCTTCGATCTCGAATTCATCTAATCGGACAAGGCGTTGGTGATAGCAGGCAAGCGAGGCGAGGAACAACCTGTGCGGCGTCTGGATTCATGTTCCCAGGCCGATAAAGTCGACTTTGACGTTGATTTTATTGGCGGGTACAGGGGCTGGATGAAATAGCGAGTCCAGGCTCTACCGGCGTCGTAGGCAACCCTCCCTCGGACCCTAACTAGGATCTTAATCGTGTTCACTCCCCGGGTCTGGCACCTTTCCACGTCAAGAGGCGGATTTGTCGTCAAGCTCCTCATCTCGACTACCTGCAAGCTATCTTTGTTTGGGCATCGAATGCAGATGGCCGGGGAAAAGTCGGTAAGGTCGGTCAGGACTGACGTTACTGTAGCTACTCTGTCTCTGCTACCGCAGCGTGTGCGTGGGTTTTGAACTAGAGCGGGAGAGGACGGGCACGGGGCGGAGATGATGTTGACGATGGATATTCAACATGAGAATCGACCCGTTGCTGTTGACGCTGTGATCGCAGGTGAAGCTCTCCCTCACCCTCTCTCGACGGAGCTCACACGCATCGATCGCTCGAATAGCTGGGGGTCGGTCGGTCTGCCGGATCTGCCGAGGTTGCGGCTCGTTCGGCTTTCGGCTTCGAGTTTGCTTCCGGGGATTCCAACGGAAGCATTCCCCCTCCATTCCATCGATCGCGTCCGATGCCTCGACCCCTGCGCAACCTGCAACCTCTCTCTTCGGAGCGTTGAATCTGTCAGATCGAACCCCTCGAATCCCCATCCTGGTTGTCCGATACACCTTACCCCCATGGGATGATCACGATCAACGATCCATGAATACTGGCGAGATCCAATGACGTCCCGTCGCGGTCCTGCACTGTAAAACTCGCTCAACTGCGAGTACCGCATCCTCGTGGGCCATATGGTGAGTAGACGGTGGAAGAGAACGTGTCCTTATAGTTCGAGATAGATGCGGTCTCTGATCAAAGTCGCCGCTGTTGCCCTTTCCTTTGTTTTCTTTGCTGGGACGATGTAGTCCTGTGACGCTCACCAGAAGACATGGAGACCTGCCATTTCGCAAACCCTCGGCCTGCTGTAGGGGACTCTTCCACCACTCTCTCTTTTGACATCGTCGGACCTCGACCTTGCTCACGGCCGGGCAATTAACAAGCGAGAGAAAAGAGGTATGTCAGGATAGATGGGTCATCTTCGGGGTCCGAACCACGACCTGGCCTCGACCTCGGCTGAACAAGTCCTGCTCGCATCGTTTGATAGGAAAACGTTGATCGGGATGGTATACTCGTCATCGACTTTCATCACCTCGGTTGCCGTCCAATCCCTTCCTCGACGACCTGGAATATATTTAACAAATGGAAGGCACCGCTGTCTTTAAGAATACTCCGGCATCGCCGCATCCAAAGCCTACTATCCACCTCCAAAGAGCCTGTCACGGACCTCCCCGTCATAAGTTCGAGGACGAGCAGCACAACTCCGGACCCCGTCGTCTCGTTGTTGATATCTCGTCTGGCGTCTAGCCCGGCATGTGAGTCTCCTATCCCGGGAATGTTCCTCTCATCTTACATGCTACAATCCATGATCTACAAAAGACAAAGGCCGGTTTCTCTTCTCATTCTCGACCTGGACATATATGATATATGATATATCCGTCGTGCGCTGGAGGTAGAAGGCTGATCAGAACTTTTCTTCGCTCGCTTTGTCTTCATCTTTATCTTCATCTTTATCTTCAGAGGAAGATTGGCCCGGTTCGTATTCGCCCGTCTGCCAACAAACCGGCACGTCAAAAGGAGAGTGATGGGGATGTGGATGCAAGAGGTTCATACAACTCGTCATTCTCACTCGCTCCGAGGCCAGGGGTTAGATAGAGGTCAGAAAGAGATGGACTTAGGAGTCGGCGAGGAGAAAAGGAGTCGGTTCGACCCTCAAGACGGGAGGGATGGGATGCCACCCGCGGCGATCACTACCCATCTACCATCTATCTTCGGCCTCGGCCTCCGCAATCTCATCTCATACCCTCCGGCTCTGCACCCATTCTATCGGCCGCGGATTCAATGTCGATACCGACCTGTGGACTCGGAGGTCGTCCTCCCCGGGAGGAATTAGCAGCGGAGATCCTGTGGTTGATCGGTGGGCCAGGAAGAGTTGGAGGAGGATTTTTGGGAAGGTCTTCCCGGGATAGAATCGGGCTTGGGCGATGCGATCGACATACAAACGGGGACGAGGGCTCGGTCAGAGGGCTAGAATGGGTATAGCGATGGGGTACGATGATGAGGCTAGGGAGGACGACGCACGCGAGGGTTAGCGGCGAGGACGGCCGGCAGGGGGTATCTCCCTTCCCGTCCTGGTTTTATACAAGGGCTACCCGGTCGGTATCCATCACATCCACATCCTCCACTTCATCCTCCTTTGCGGACCCACGCCCAACTTCAGCAGCGGGATCAGTAACAGCACCTCGCCTGATGCTCCAACCAAGACCATCTACGAACAACCGCTCCTTCGACCGTCTCTACAACCTTCGAGCTATATATCAGTCGCAAGACGTGCAGGAGAGTCTGGGGAAGCATGGGCCGAGAGGTCGAGATCGGGTTCAGGAACACGATCGGGTCCGAGCTCGAGCGCGGGAGGAGCGGGGGAGGGTATCGCCACACGGTCCTCCTCTTTCGACGTCGTCTTCGCCGGTGATACCGTTCCACGGTCCCGTTCCCATCGGCAGCCCCTCTTCCTTCTGAATACAAATACCTACACCGGTGTCAATATCGATTTCTGATAACGCCCTCCTCATCCGAGACCCGAACCGGGGCTCGACATCACCTCCACCAACACCTGGCAACGATATCACCGCAACGACTACGGACAAGGGGTCTTCATCAGGATGACGGATAGAAGGAGGGTGGTGAAAAGTACAGTCCATAGGGCGAAATGATTGGGCAAATGGGAAGATGTGAGTCGGCAGGTTTCGAGTCTCTTTCGTTACGTCTTTCGTTGCGGAACTGCGGTTAGGGTCGGAATCGAGGTCGAGTCATGATGAACGACGGCGGGCTGGGTCCGGGGGCATGGATGCGGAAGTGGGAACGTGCACGAGCAGATTAGGGCTCGGTCATCTTGGCTGGAGCAGGTCGGGGCAGGTCGGGTAGGCGGAGTATGGAAGGGCTTGGGTGCGGTGAAAGCAAGGGATTTGGTCTCGGGTAGCTTCATGTTCGAGGAGCAAGGAGCTCGGAAACCGGAGATCGCAGGTCGGTTGTCTGAGGTAGGAGGGTGGAGACCGAAGGTGGGAAGTTGCGGAGGGTCGCCATGAAGATGGCCTGCCGATTGGATCTCTTCATTGAACGGTGCGCAGATCGCCTACCGTCAGGGTTCTCCGACGTCGGCTGGCCAAAAGTTCGCAGGACAGCCGCTCGCTATTTTCTCCGGACGTGGCATAGGTTCAGACATTCGAGTCTTGATCGGAACGGACAGCTGATCTTTCCTTGTTTCTACGATTATTCTTTGCCTCTTGCCCTCTCCTCTCTATCTCTCAATGTCTTGACCGGACGTCGCTCCATGCCTCGACGTCGGAACGTCCCGCATCCGCTTCGTTCCCGATCGCCTATCCCTCCGACCAGTTCAAGAGCTCCGGGGGACTATACTTTCCCGGTCCATGCCCCGTCAAGATTCGACCTCGTCAATCTCAACCTTACGAAGAAGCAGTACCAGTCAGTTCTGCCCCTCCTCGATCCCCCGTGGCGAGTCGAGGGGTACGAAACGGGTGCCGCGGCAGGAGGGGAAGGGGGAGGAGGAGGAAGAAGAAGGGTTAGGGGTGTGACGGGGGCCTGGGTCTGATTCGAAGCAGAGGCCGCTGGGGCTAGGGGCTGCGGGAGCCGGGGAGGGTCGCGGGAGCGGGATCGAAGACAACAGCGATGGAGGTGGTGATCGAGGGTCAGGTCGAGGGGATCAGAATGACGATGTGACCAAGGAGACGTGGAACGGGGATGAAGACCGTCCGGCTGGCCATGACAAGGAGGAAGAAGACGATGAAGAGGGTCCGACTGCCTGTGACGAGACGGAATATCACGGACATGCCGGGCGTTCCGGCGGAAACGCAGCCCATCATCTTAACGATTGGCCCTAGGTCAACGCTATGGCGGAAGTCAAGCCAAGTGGCGGGAACGTCGTGGAAAGAATCGCCAGGGGCGAAGACGTACGTCGAATTGTGAACTCGTGTCTGTACAACAGCTGACCGGCGTGCTATTTCTCTGTATTCAGTAACGCCTTGGGCGGAGATTACAGTTTGAACAACCGAAATCTACAGTTGATAGATTCCACGATGCCGCGGAGAGGATGCAGCGAAATCGAGAGGATTTGGCGGGGAGATGGTGGGCTACGTTTCAACCGGCGATGGACGGTCCTGCGCTCCTGCCCCAGAACGGATATCATGGACTCAGCTTTTGTACGGTAGAGTCCCCAATCAGATCGAATGCTGTCGACCAGCGATGCGGTTTTCCTACACAGGCTGGCTGAGCGATACGAGTTGTGCGAACGCGAAGTATCGTGGTGACGGTGGTGACGGGATTTATATGGCGGCCCAGAACTTGGCAAACGGCCCATCACATCAACCAGCCGAATCGTGACGCCACCCAAGTCTGGTACGCATCCTTCTCTTTGGCAATTGGCCGTTCCAAAAGGTCTACTGTACTGTCATCTCGCCAGAACAAACCCTAACCGCAAGTGATTCTCATGTAAAGGCGTCGAGACTCTGTTTAACTGAAAGCATGGCCGAACTCCATGTGGTCCGACGAGGAATCGAAGGTCTCGTAGGAGAAGGATCAAGTGAGCTGGTAGCCGCAGCGACGGAAGTTCTCAGTGGATATGTGCCGGGCTCTTGTGGGCCGCACAAAGGCTTCTGCAATTTCCGTTGTTGTCCTTTTCTGAGGGGAGCTGATGGAAGCCTCATGTCTTCCGTTGCAGGTTCTGGGGTAGCCGATGACACAAGCTCCGCCGTGGTCGAGAAAGCAAGAGATCACAGACCCCGTACTGTAGGCTTCGTCTCGGTATGTTGTTGAACAGGCCGCTAACCATGACCTGAGATGGAAGGGGTGCGCCGACGCGCTGGGTTCTTGCTTGCGCTTGGGCTCGATCCGGCGCCGATGATCTCCTGGAGAGAATGATCGAGGTGATCTCATGGAGTCAAGGCCGTATGGAGCAAGATGCAGTGACGGCAAGCAGCAGGTGAGAGGGGAGCCGCAGCGTGATTGGCAGACGTAGGGACAGATTAGGATGGGAGAAGTTCGGGGTTAGGAGGGCGGACTTGCGGAGAAAGGGCATTGTGGTGGTGGACGGACCCGCTGTAAGGCATCAGAATCTCACCATCTCGTTGTGATCCTTCTCAACACGACATGCGATGCGTACCGCCATACTGTTTTACCGAGTTGCCGCCCCATAAGGCAGTGTGGGGGAACAAAAAATGGGGATGCGAATTGTGTATAAGCCAAAAATGGGAACGCGAGTTTTGGGGATACAATGCGTGGGGATGCGATATGTGGCAATGACGAGAGATCGTATCGATCGTACTTCTACCAGCAGAGAGGCAGGTGAACAAGTTGGCGTTACTCACAAGCGGACGTGGAGGATTTATCGATCGAGGTCCTGCAAAGGATCGGTTCTGTGGACTGCAACTACAGCGTGCCAGGGTTATGGAAGAATTGGGGATCATCATCCACCATTGTACCACCGTCCACTCCCGCAGCATTGGTCCAATCTACACCATTGGCAATCACTGCAACATTGGCAGCTTCAGCATCAATGTCCAGCTTGCCTCTATCATCCAGAGCGCACCGCTGGCCAAACGGTAGTTGCAGTGGCGCTCAACCACGGCTTGAAAGAGATCTCGCACCTCCCTTCCAGCCTATTGCAAGCACCTAGCATCTAGCACCTAGCAGCTACGAGTCCAGCCGGAAGGCCACTCTCTTAAGAGACTGCGCATCTAGTCCAATTAATGGCGCAGCACGGTACACAACCATAATCAGATCCCTCTGTGCATCCATTGATTCAAAATGTGTCTGGCATGATTTGCAGTTTGTCGTGACTTGGCAATCTTTCCGTTTGGGCAAGATGAACACCCCAACAGGCAGTAGCAGATGAATGTTGGACAAGGCTCCTTCAAGACGATATTCTATCATGGTATCGGCTTATGCATGTAGAAAGGAAGCATTATCGAATTAACAACTGAACCAGTGCTTGTCTGGGCAACCTTGTCAGGGCAAACAGGGCTATTGTCTTTGCTCTCAATGTCTCTGACACTTCTGGCAGGGATGCCTTTCGCATCCTGACCTGCAATTTGGGAACCATTGACGCGGTTGCGGTCCCCAGTACATGATGCAAACTTGGTGGATGTCAATATCTGCAATGCAGACACACCTGGCATTTTCCTTAGGGCCCAGTATCCTCCAGGTGGGGGAGAGACGCATGTGCAGGAAGCGAAATTGTCAGGTAGCATGATGTGGGGATGCAATATGAGGCAATAACAACGTATCTATATAACACCTTCTCTCAAGTATCTATCCTTTCTGACTTCACTAACCAGGGTAGTCAAACAGCATGATGAGAGCTGTGGTCTGGTGCACTCTTTCACAGCTACCTCTTCCAGCCAATCAGCGGCAATCCAATCAAGACCCTTCATGATACCAACAACTGTATTGCTTGCATCCCCAGCACCTCAATGCCTACTGCCTATATCCTTTGAAACACCTTGGCATGGTGTAGTATGCGTGCCATTGATACTGCTCCTTGAAGCCTGTCCAGGCTGGGCAATGTCGACAACCAAGCACATGCAGCATCAGGAACAAGTCCACTCCAACAGTGTAGCTATTGAGAGACAGTGATTCATTGTTGCAGGCTATAATATCTATGCTCAGCAAGTTTGATGATAGTGGGATCAACCAGGGGTTGTGGCTCTGTCAGAAAGCACAGAACAGGTATTCAAATTGTATGTGAGCTAGAAATATGCAAAATTTGTGTGAGCAGAAATTGTACAGTTAGTCAGAGTGGTTAAATGTTAAGTGAGCTTGTATTGCAGAATATATTATGCGGAGCTTGAATAATACGATCAACAACTGGGTGTTTATTGTATGAGTTTGGATTAGGCCATCAATCACTGAACAGATTGTGTATGAACTGGATTACGTGAATAACCAAGAGGATATAACTATTTGGATGCCCAACAGATTATTCAACTACTCAGGGGGTTTTAGCATAAGCCCAACGCAAAACATGGGTATGCAAATTGTGTGTGAGCTGAAATTGGGTGATCAGCCAAGCAGTGTTGGCAGTCTAAGTGAGCAGATCAACCATAAAGTCTAACAGGGTTTCTGTAACAATTTATAAGAGTGTCAAGGAAGTAGGTCGATCATGTATGAGCTGGACTGATACAACCATTGAACTGATCTTGACAATGTGATTTTGTAACAGGTTTTACAGTCAGCCAAATGATGGTGTTTGCCTGACAGGTTTTGCAGGTCATCCAGGGGGTCACAATGATTTGAGGTCAATTATGTTGGGTATGCCATTGAATGTAAGCTAGAATCGTGCCATTAGCCAGGTATTGGGGACCTGCTAAATGCCTAACAGGTTTTATGTCTGCCTAGGGGAGGTCAGCAGCAAAAATTGGGTATGTATATTGTGTGTCAGCTAGAATGCTGTAATTATCACTGAGTAATTGTCACTAGATCAATCTTGTATGAGCTAGAATTGTGCTCCCACCCAGGAGATTGTGCTAAACTAAAGGACAGATAAATTGCACAATTGGTCCGGGGTTCGATCAGATCCGCAAGCAAAGATTGAATATGGGATTTGCATGTGAGCTAGAACTGTGCAACCAGCCAGTAGCAAGGCATTTTGAGAGCTACAATGCTGCAATCAGCCAAGTGATATCATCAGTCTGGTATAACATCAGTTGTGCAGTCCACAAATATATTCCAACAATCTGGGTGGTCAAAGAATGGGTGTGCAAGATATGAGTGAGCTAGAATTGTGCCATCCGCAATGTACTTGTGACATTCCGGCTGTCTACAGTCTGCTGGGGGTTTCCAATGATCTAGAAGAGTACAGAAATTTGCAACAACCTAGAATAGCACAGAATGTGCATTCTAATGATGTGCAAGCTGTAATCATTGAAATCAGCCAAGCGCAGGATTCTGCCAATCGAAGCACCCTTGGGAGGCGCAGAGGGAATTGTGAATTGTACAGCAACATGGGAGAATGGGTTCGCAAGTTGTAATTGTGCAATCAACCAGGGGGGTGCGAGAGTCTGACTAGTTGTGCGGTAACAGCAATTTGGGAAGACACAGAATGGGTATACCAATTATGTATGAGTTAGAATTGTATAATTGGCCAGCAGTCATGTAGAGATTGTGTGTAAGTTAGAGAAATGTGTGATGAGCCAAGGAGTGTGACAATTTAAAGATATGATCACTTTTGCGGTTCCCAAGGGTTATAGCAACTTGAAAGAGCATAGCACCGATGTACTAGTTGTGTCTCAACCAGACTTGTGCAGTAAACCAGGGGTTTGCAACAATATGAGGGGAACAAAAGATAGGTACTGTTCTTTGAGAGTTCTCTGTTCATTGGCAACCCAACTCCGAAGTGTTTTACTAAGCAGATTGTGTGAGGTGATGACAACATCCTGAGATAGCAAAGAATGGGCATGTAGACTGCTATGTGAGCTGAAATTGTGCAGTCAGCCAGATGTTCATGACAATCTGAAAGCCTAACAGGTTTTTTACACTCAGCCAGGGGTTTGTAACACTGGGAGTAATCAGATCATATGAGTCTGTCAGGGTTTCGTTAAAATCTGCAATCAGTCAAATGGTAACAGGTATACAAAATATGTGTGGGCTAGAATTGTGCAACCAGTCAAGCGGTTGTAATGATTTAACCAGTTGTGGGGTCACAGACATCTGAGCAAGCACCAAATGGCTTTGCAGACTGGGTGAAAAGACACAGATGTCACGTGACTAGACGACAGCGCAAGGCGCCCTTATATAGTGATTTCTATGGGAAGCAATAACAGAATGGGTCTATGAATCGTTTGTGAGCTGTAATTTGTAATCAGCCAGGTGATTGTCTTAATCTAAGTACATAACCATTGCATATTGTGTGTAAGTCAGAACTGTGTGGTCTGCTATGTGACCATCTTAATTTAAGTGACTAACAAGCTTTGGAGTCAGTTGGGCATTACAGCAATTTGCAAAAACATAGAATGGTTTCACAAGTTGTGTGTAAGCTAGAATTGTGTGAGATCAGCCAGAAGCTTACAACTCCAGTGCCTAAGAAATTTTGTATGCAGGCCGGTATTTACAGCATACTGGGAAAGCACAGAATAGGTTGACAGACTGTGTGGGAAAACAGGTTCTGCAGCCATGGAATTAGAGCAACTCAACACAGTGTGCTGGTCGTGTGTGAGCTAGTACAGTGCAGGTGGATCTAACAATGTGTGTGCCTAGCAAGTTTTGAACTCAGTCAGAGGTTTGTAACACTATGAGTAATATGAGTAAGTACAGAATGGCTATACCAATTCTTAATGAGCCAGTATTGAGCAGTACAACTGAATGGTCTTACAAACGTGAATGAGCAACAGGTTTTGCGATTAACAAAGGGATTACAGCAACTTAGGAAAGCAAAAATGGGTTTGCAAATCTTGTTTGAGCTGTTTGAGCTAGAAATGACCACCAACCAATGGAAGGTGACGAACTTGATGCCTAACAGGTCTCTGAGCTGGTCAGGGGGTTTTGACAAGAGGCCCAAGCATAGAATTGGTATACAGACCTCTGGGTCAATGTGTCAAGTTGAAGTGAGAGTACACATGCATAACAAGTCTTGAAGATTAGCCAGGGCCTTACAGCAGTTTGGCTGAGCTGTGTGTGAGATAGGACAATGCAATGAGCTGAGTTTCCTATGACAATCTGAGTGTGCAACAGGTCTGGCAATCAGCCAGGGCGTCACAGCATTCTAAGGCAGCAAAGAAAGGGTCTGTAACTTGGGTGCAAATCAAGCGAGGGAATTACAGTAACCTGATGGCAGAGAATGGGTGTGTGAGTTGTATGTGAGCTGGAATTGTGCAATCAATCAGGGGATCAGCTCTGTGCGCTAGAATTGTGCAACCAGCTAAGTCACTGGCAAGCAAAGAATGGGTATCCCAATTGTGTTTTAGCTGGGATTGTGCAAACAGTAAGTGGGTCCGCTGTGTTGGCTAGAATTGTGTAATTGATGGGGAATAGTGTTGTGCAGTTGACAGATGGATAAAGATAAGCGAGCTTCTTATCAAGTCTTGCAGCCAGCCACAATTTGACAGCAACCTGTATAATCACAAAACGTTTGTGTGAATTGTGCATCAGCGTGCCGTGTCACCATAACAACAACCTTGAGGAATCAGACCTCTTATCACTAGGGTTAGGGTTAGGGGTTAGAAGAGAAATTCGGACCCAAATGGCCTGCTATATATAATTTCCTGGGAAGGGGCAAACGGTGGCAAAGTCAAACAATATCGCTGTTGGATAGTCAAACAACTTTGGTGATTTGGTGGTCAAACAAGTTCGGTCATTTATTTCAAATCCAATCCTTCTAGCATCTGCTAGAATGTCCAGTGCCTTCGCTTCCATCTTGCTTCCTGTTTGCAAACCTGGGAATCACAGTGATCTGTATGGGCACAGAATGGGTGTGTATGCGGGGCTATGGTGATAATCCGGTGGACCGATCTGGGAAAACAAAGAATAGGTGTGCAAATTGTGTGTTAGCTAGAATTGTGCTATCAGCCAGTGAACAACTTGTGTGAGAGCTGAAAATACACAATCAATCAGGAAGTTGGGATAATCTGAGTGATTGATAGGTTTTACAATCAGCCAGGGGGTGCTAGCTGTCTGGAGGATATGAGAACAGGTATCCAAGTTGTGTGTGTGTGTGAGCTAGAATTGTTTATCAAGCCAAGTGATTTTGACAACCTGGGTAATTATCAACTACGTGTGCTGTTTGCCAGGGGTTTCTAACACTGTGGGTAATCAAAGAACAAGTGCAGAAACTGTTTGTAAGCTAGACATGTGTAATTAGCCAATTGGTTATGAGACAACCTGAGTGTATATCAAGTTATGCTGTTTCCCAGGATTTCTGACAGTTTTGTGGGAGTCAGAATTGTGTCATCGGCCACGTGGCTGTTGCTGAGTGCTTGATGGGTACATACATTGTGTGGGGCTGAATTGGGCAGTCAGTCACAATATTGTGACAACTTGAATGCGTAACAAGTCTCAAACATCAGCCAGGGCCATCCAGCAATCTGGCAAAGCACGAACCAAGTATACAAAGTGTCTGTGAGCGAGAGTTGGGCAACCAAACAAGGGGTCTTGGCAATGTGAGTACACAGCAAGTTTTGCAACCAGCCAGTGGTCTGTGACACTGTCTGTGAAGACAAAATAGGCATGCAGCTTGTGTGTGTGCTAGGACAATGCAATGAGCCAGACTTTCTGGTACAATCTGAGTATGTAACAGGTTTGGCAATTCCCCAGGGCGTCACAGCATCTAGAGGCAGTAAAGAATGGATCTGTGGTCTGCATGCAAATCGTGCGAGGGGATCACAGCGATTTGAAGGACTAAGGGTGGGCATGCAAATTGAGTGTGAGCTGTAATCTGCAATTGACCAATAGTTGTGGTGGATCGGATTGGCAGCCAAACAGGGTTTGCAGTGAAGCAAGGGTTCACAGCAATCTGGAGGAGCAGAGAATGGGTGTATAAATTGTATGTGAGCTGGAATTTTGCAATTGGTCAGTGCTCTTGAATCATGCAAATAGCTAAGTCATTGGGGGAACAAAGAATGGGTCTGCCAATTGTGTATGAGCTAGAAATGTGCAAACAATCAGTGGGTCAGCAAATTGTTTGTGAGCTAGAATTGTGCTATTTGTATGCAAATTGATGGGGAACAATTTTGTGCAGTTGACAGATGAATAAGGATAATTTGGATGTTGACCTAGAAGAGGGCATCAATAATGCTGATACAGAACCTGTGCAAGCTAGAATCGTGTCATCAGCAAGAGAATTGCAAGAAATTGCCTGAACAGTTCTATCTCCAAATGGGGGACTGTAGTAGTGCCGGTGTCCTCATGACACTAACTTGGGGAAGCATACGAGGTTGCTATTGAGATGTTAGTTGGGTTATACAGTGTGGTAGCAGTGCCAGTGACCTCGTGAGTGTCCTCGTGAGTGAAAACAACCTGGAGAAGCCGTGGACGTCACCATGCTTTGCGATGTTGGTAGGGTTGTACAGTGTAGCTCTCAGAAGAACATGGTCCTTACTGCTAACCCGGTTATAAAGTGCTTTCAATTTGGCAACTTGATCGGAACATCAATGCAGGTTTTCTCTTGCGCCAATCCAATTTTGAAGAAGGTTGTTGCTGAGCTTGAAACTTCAACTCATCAATAGTCTTGCTTTCTCCCACGCGAACCCAGTCATGAAAGATGTTGCAAGAGTCAGTCAGAGGTTGCAAAACATATGAGTAATCATGCTTTTCAGGCATGAACACCATTGCTAAGAGATGTATACAGAGTAAAGTAGTGTAGATAGGTGGTCAGTATGTTGAGATGTAACATTGGATGTTGGAGATTGCATTGTCATTGAATAGTGATGAAATTGTTGCAGTATTGCCGTTCTTGTTTTTACCATCTAACACAGACACGATCTGGGCCTTTGAGGCTCATATATACCTCAGGGGTTTGACCCTATATATACCTGGTGAAGCTTGACAATCGTAAGATATCCTGTCTCTAAGCTGGAGAACAAGTAGAACAAGTTAAGATCTCAATATACAGTCCTACTTGGCCTGTTTGACATCATCTTGATGTATCGCAAGGAGGTTCTAATCCACCAACAGGTGATGAATGATCCTACAGGTCCAAGTAGCAGTTGAGAGTGATCTAGACTATGCAATTCAAGCCATGTATGAAACAATAATGGTATCAGGTCTAAACAACATGTTACGCCTTGGGTTCAAGCTCGATGTGGTGATGCAATAGTTGTGTTGCAGCAGCAAAGCCTTGTTATGACCTTTTGCAGTGCTTGCTGTCTGAAGATTCTAACTCAAGATTTGAACGATAGCGACAGTGATTTAGGGGATGATGATTTGCTTCATTTCCAGCTTGCTCCCTGCTCTTTTCTGCTTACATTCTGACTCATGACTCCTGATTCATAACGCCTGACCCATAATTACAGAGGCATTTTGTCAGGGGAACTGTCTCTGATTGAGGTAGGGGCTAGCAGGAGATCCAGGCGAGTCACCATGGTACATCTTCAACTGCAAATATATGCCACTAGTCGCTTACATGCACGCCTATTCTTACGATCCAAACCTATCGAGCGACCGTGACAAATCATTTCCCCTGTCAAAGAGCAGCATCCATGCATTTTTGTACAAACTTTGACCCCGTTTTATGTTTTCTCATGTACTTCCTGACCTGGTATGAGCAGGACCGATTCCATTTCATATCGGAAAAAAAGTGGAAAGTAGTGATTGGGGGGGATCCTGGACAACAGTTTACCAATTCTGGAAAATGCAGTTACCACTTCACGGCAGTGAAGCATGCTGTTGTCAGAAGTCATACATTATGACAGGAGGAGATCAGCCCTGGCAATGGACTGAGCAGAATACTAGCGGAAGATATCCTATAAGCAGTGTGCCCAATTGAATTTGGTTGATCAACATAGCACAAGTACAATGATTCACTTGTAAATATTGGTGTTTCGTCTCTGTAGGCCTTACCTACAGCTATGTCCCCACTGGCCTAGAGGTGTTTTTGAGATGTGTGGAGTAAACTGACTCGTGCATGAGAAAAGCCCATATCATACAATCAATTGGGTATGTTGCAAATTTATTGACACTGCCCTATTTGATGATTTTATGATTCTCCTCACTACGGACCTGCCTTTACAGCTGTTCCTTGGTATACTACGTTGTTATACACATCAACGGCATTCAGTCAGGATGCATGCAAAGGAAATGTCAGTCCTTCCACACTCGACTGAATCACTTCCCATGATACACAACAAAACTGATTGAAACTCTGGCATCAACTTAGAACAAAGGTCTGGCTTAGCAACAAGACCTTCCCACACATGTACTTTTGCTTGGACCAATCAAGGTTGGCACTGCTGCCATCCATCTCTCAGCGCAATCGCACCAGGTCCATGGACTTGACGGAAAGGTCCTTGTTGTTTGTTGTTATTGGAGATTAGTACATTTGCGCACATCAGGGTCCATGTCAGCAGTTTCGCTACCGGACTTGAAGATCGGAACTAACCTCTAAGAGCAACACCAAATGTGAGACCTGGTTCACCAACGCCCAATAGGTATATGTCTGCGCTTGGACAGAGGGCGCGCCTAGTAAATCGCTCACAAAGCGTTTATTGTACAGTTCACCAGTAACCCCAAGAGATGGCGCAATATGTCAGATTTCTTGTAGATAGCCAACAAGGGCTGTCAGTCTTTGTTAGTATCAAAAGGGTGGGGGTCAATAGGTAAATAGGTAATGTGATCAAATCTGGTGATCAGAGGTCTTCTTCTTGAATTCCTTCATAAGAGAGAAAAGATATGACCTGCCTCTGCTTTTGATGCAGTGCCTGCCAGAACATGTCACTTCAGTTGCATGTACAAGACTCATGTCACAGCCATGCATCCTGATTTGTATATATTTGATCGGAGCTGCAGATGTGTGACCATCAAGGCATCTATGTCACTGTAGTCACAGGCTCGCGATTCTGATTGCAAACTTCAAAGGCCATCAGATTGCCTGATTTGTTGCAAAGAAATGATAACCAGATCCACCAAGGTTGGTTACTTGGTGTACCTAGGCAATAGTAATGATGTGTTCCCAGTGCTGGTGTTGTCTTGTTGTGAGGATATTAAATTGAGGCCAAACTGGCCCGCTATATATGCTATTGTGATGGCAGACTCCATGGCTCTGCATCCACTTCATTTATATTGGGAAACCCAACGCGCTCGGTGTACTTCTCCAGGTCGGGCACCGCTGCCTCTGTAGTTGGACGCTTCCGTCAGTACATGTAGTCACAGCTTATTGTGGTCAAGATTGACGACACATCATCCAAAACAGACACGCTTGTGATGTCGCCCATCATCATGTTGTCATTCACGTCTAACAAAGGCACCCATGCATCACCACCCTTCTTGCGGATGACAAGACCGATGATCCAGTTCACTTGTTTGCTCTCGCTGACGGAGAGGAAGTCCTGCATGGGCCTCACCATCTTCAGGAGGTTGTCAGGGCAGGAGGGGATACTGCAAGTGGTCTTGTTGAGCCCCAACTTTGGACTCCTTGGCAGCTTTGTTGAGCCCGGCTTTTGACTCCTAAGCTGCTTTGTCAAGGCGGGTGTTGGTATCCTTGCTGATTTTGTTGATGTGAGTGGTGGTGTCATCGTGTTTCTGGGCGATGGCCTACAGAAGTTGAGTCTTCAAGTCTTTGAGTTCCTCTCTGAGCTGCTTGTTCTCATCTCAAATCAGCTGATTCTCCTCGCAAGGACAGCTTCATCTCGTTGTGGTTGTCCCTGTGTTGCTTCTATTGCTTCTTGGTGGACGTCTGAAGAGCAGCAAGTTGAGTGTTGAATTGCTCAACTGTGATAAGGAGTGTTTTGATGTCGCTGCCCTGAGTGGTGATATGTTCTAGGAGAGAGAGTTCACCCTATTGATCTGTAGCAAGGCGTTGAGAGGGAAATTTGATGTTGTCCTTGTCCATGTTTATGATTGGGACGTTGAGGTCTATGATCAGTTCAGTTCGATCCAGGCGTCAGCAACCAGCGTGGTTTGGCTCATATACAAATGGCTGTACTGACGTCTGGGGGCGAGGCACACAGATCCAGGAATATAATAGTGTTACGGTTTTGATTTGTATCAGTGGCAGTATTACTAGCAGTGGGATCATCCCGCCCCTCCGCCTCTCGGTGTTGGGCAATCATAGTTATACTGGTAGTGCTGAAATGACTTCAAATGAGTGCCGCAAACGAATTTTACTCGGATGTCACCAGTACCAAGAGACTCCTCCAGTACCAGAACCTTTGCCTTGATTTGATTCAACCAGTGGACTATTGGGTGTTGCCTTGAGTATGCTTCTGTCATGTCCATCGTGGTCAATAATGATGAAGACCATTGATGTCTACCGGACTGTGTCTAGCAATCATCATGATATGCTATGAATGGCATCAGCACGAGTCAAGTTTTTTGGTTGCATACTGATTATAGAAAGACACTTACAGGATAATCTTTGTCTCCTTGCCATGCAACACAACGTTCCCAGTAGCAAGGCGTCATTGCAGGGTGGGTAAGTGCTGTGGATAGCTTGGTAAAATAGTATAGTTACAATCCGAGACAGGCTTCAAATGGCTTGCAATGTTGTAACTGTGCTTATCTCATGGGAAAGATACAGCTGAAAACAGCCTGTCTGCCTTACTACAACTTTCAGAAACCATTGCTGTGGCCGAACTAAAAACAGTTCCTACCAGGATTACCACATAAAGCCTTGATTCTCAGCGTACCTTAGGGCCTGACTGAGCAGGAAGCTTGGGGTGAACAGTGATCGCATACAGAAGACTGTCTAGATAACATAAGACCTGAAGTCACTAAACCGCATGATCAGGAGCAGGAAACCACTCATGAATCAATCAAAGAGAAGAACCATAGCCAAGAAGGCAGAAATCACCACTATTCAATTCAAATGAGAGGTTTTACCCAAAGTTCCATCCTGGGTATCCACAGGTGCATCAGATGAAGGTTATCTATCTCTTTGGACAAGAAAGACATGCCAGAAGCACTGGCTTAAGCCAGAGGGTGTCAAATCTACCAGGACTGAAGTAGCCAGTCCATTTCCAGCAGAGGTCAGCCTATACCTCCAATCTATCAGGGAGCCTCAATCCTGAATCCAACTTTAGCTCTGTCTCACTGTATCAAGCAGACATGCAGGAAGGACTGTTTGCAACTGATATGCCTGAGGGAGATTATTACATGAAGTTTGTAGACAAGCTCAGCCGTGTCTTACTCAAGGTCGAGCCTACAGGCACATGCAAGATAAACCAACTACCCTTGCTGAGAAGCTAGCTTGCCAGTCACTTATATTGGACTTGAGAACAGGTGGAACATCAAGTTTGTGACATGAGCAAGACCAGGCAATTTCTTGAAACTGCCTTTGTTGAACTCAGGACCACGTGTAATGCACACCTGATATGTGCAGACAAGACAAAAGAGCCTTTGCTACCGCCATAATATCCAAATCTGTTCACAAAGGCAAGAGGGTCTGGTTTGGAATTGTGAAGAGGCCGGGTGTTCCGATAGATATGTAGATGAGGACAAACAGGTAATGGATGCACCTACAAAATGCCGAAGCAAGTATTCTTCAGGTTGAAAGGGGGAAACTGGGTTTCTCAGAACTGATTGATCCGGCTCTTGCAGTTGTCTTCATACTCCTCCTTTAGCAAACAGTCATACCACTTTTCACAATATGTAAAGGGGAGCAAATCTCTCTATTGACTGATGACTGGATATGTTGCATTTAGCGTCAACATGGTCCTATCTGGTGATTTTGTATTTTTTTTGACTTGTTATACAATGAGGGTAGCTGATCATTATTGATGCTGATGAAGAACAGGTGGAAAGAGGAGTGGTTAAAGGGATAAAGTGCAGGGTCAGGATAACAAGAAAGATTCTCATGATAAGAAGTTTGAGTCCTCCTGCACAAAAAAGGGGAGACCTATTCCTCCTTTGATTACTCCTATATGTCTATGCACAATCTAAATGAAAAGGATGTACCAGAACATGCGACTGTAGATCCAAGATCTGACTATGGTTGCAATGAACGATATGCCTGAGGTTGCACAAATCTAATTCCAAGCGTATGACTTTGCTCACACCTGCATGACTGTAGTTGCAAACCTGTGATTGTTGCCAGAAGGTGCAGTCACAGTTGCACCTTTGCGTGAAGATGACTCTGTTGTGCAGGGAAAAGGTAGGATCTTGTGACTCAGTGTTTTTGGGATTAGGACAGTAAGCTGATTGCAAAGTGAAGAGGTAGAGTGTTGTAGCCTGATCCCCTGTGGATACTCATGAGCAGACAAGGGGTAAACAATTGTACACTATACAAAGCTAAACAAAGCACAAAGTACATATTACAAGGTACAGAGCACAAAGTAGAATGTACAAGGCGAGTGCAAGGTATAGAATTTCAAACACAATGTGCAACATGTAATGTGCCCCACAGCCAAAAAAGAGACGGCAACAGGACCTATTGTCAGGGGGTCGGGAGCCCACCCCGACGAGACGTGCTGCGACAAGACTTGCTGCTCATAGGGTACCTTCCGCCTTTGGGTACAGGTCCAGTTACAAGCGCTTCCCCAACGCCTGGGGGAAGCGCCACCACGCCGATATCATCCGAGGCCTGGAGGCCATCCATTGTGGACCAGGATTTGAATTCCATTGCCGGGAAACTCACCAATTTCCTTCTCGTCTTTCTCAGTTGATTTCTTCAACAGGACCTTGATCAAAGTCGACCTGGAACGGTCTGGTGTGCTCCATTGAGACTGGTACTTTTCAAAGAAAACAAGCTGATTGAGTCTTTCTTCCGTGAGCCCTTCCTGCGGGGAGATCTAAAGTACATAAAGTGGAAATATGTAGGAAGGACAAGCTGTGCCCCTGATCCTTTACTATATGCAAGAAGCAGGACTATACTAATAATAGAAAGCCAGCAGGCTACAACAAGAAACTGCCAATAAGAGAAACATGGATGATCTTGCGACCGTGCATAGGGCAAATGGAAACAGCAAAAGCTAGATGGACCTTGAAATGGTATAGGTGAAAGCCAGATTTATCTCTTCCCCTTACACCTTTCATGTACCACTTTCCTTCTCTGCAAGCAACCAGATCATGGTCAATCAATCACAAAACAAATAACGAAACCCAGTGCCACCAAAGAAATCAGCTACACCGTCAGTTCAGGTTGAATTCATAACATAAAGGATCTAGGTTGAATTGATAGCTTTCATCCAAGCAGTTGTTTGGCTCACAGGAAAGATACACTCGTCATCTATGCTGCTTGAAAGCAGACAGGGTTGTCTTTATGTTCTGTGAGGATCTGTACCCGTATTTGTCACTGAGAAGAGAGGTCGGGGCAGTCAACCAAGCCAGCAAGCCACCGATATGTGGCTGGCCAGCCAATTATTTCTCCTGGGAGGAGTTCTCACAAGCAGCAAACTAAACACAATGCACCAGGAGAAGGATGAGAAGAAGCAAGCGACTGACCCAGAAGCGGCCAGTAATACCCTAAAAGGCAACAAATACAAAACACTCGTCTGTGATGTCACAAATGTCTTTCTGTCACCTGTGCATTACTTTTCTATGACTTGTGCAATTGCTTGTTTAGTCAGTTGCTTGTTTGGTCATGCGACATCGTCCCTCCAGATGTACAGGTCTGCATTGTAACTGGGAACAAGCTGAAAAGAAGACAACACAATGAGGACCTTAGTTGCTGCAGAGATCACAACAAAATGGTGTCACTGCAGTCTTACTATTCAAGTCAACTGATGAACCCTTCGAGGTGTGGATGACTGGTTTGGATGCATAAATGTCACGTTCCATAGGCGGAATTGGAATGGGTAATGACAAAGTATCTGTATTGATACTGTAAGCAAGCACTGGTAGTCAATGTCGTGACGTAACAGATCGATAAATCAGGGTGCTTACTTGATCAATGTACTTGACAAGTGTTGTGACTGACTTGTTGCACAAAGATCCATGTTGTATGTATGAGAATGCATTAGTACTGTGAAGTGAGCTGACTCTTATGTGGGAGAAGAGCGAATCTCACAACTGAGTTTATAGTCATGCAACAAGGGTAGCTGGTCCTTGTTGATATTGAAGAGTTGAAGGTGAAAACGGAAAGGGTGAAAGGGATGAAGTGGAAGGTAAAGGTAATCGGAATGAATCTAGTGATAAGAGGTCTGAGTCCGCTTAGAAGAGAAAAGGGATGACCCATTTCCTTTTGGGGACTCCTCTATATACATGAACTGTCTAGTGGTGTGGGTACAAGATCTGTGACCAGAGTAGTTGCAGGAATGTGACTGAGTCCAAAAGTATGACTCAGACGCAAATTGTGACTGCTAGTCGCAATACTGTGACAGCAATTGCAATATGTGATTTGTGGTTACAAATGTCTGATCACAGCCACATCTTTACAGGTACAAGAGATCATATCCAAATCAAGTTGTTGAAAATGTTTTTGTATGCAGATAAGATGATTGTCACCGGCCTACTTCCAATGGACAAGGTATGAAACGAGCACCGTTGGTTCTCTGCAAGCAATCCTTGAGGGGTGAAGTATTGCAACTGATCCTCTTGACTGTTTAGCACATACCATTCCCATTATATCACATTCAGTTGGTATCAACTCCATCTGATCTTGAGACTTTTCCCTTTGGCAGTTGATGATAACTGGATATATCAGAGTGCATGAAGTTGGACATAGAAGCAGCTTGTTATTAGGTAACACAGAGTGTTAGTTGGTTTTCCACAGAGAAGAGACCAGGACCAGTGTGTTTGCACGGCGATCTTCAATCTGAGAGGCATACATCTCTTGACTGGGATTGCTACAGGCCAGATACACAATGTGTTCACACCAATGCACTTTGTGATGGATCAAGCTTTCTTTCAAGGGAAAGTTAGGTTTCTCAACAACTAATTTATCTGGTTCTTACAGTTGTCTCGACCCTTCTTCTTGAACAGATAATTAATTATCTTACTCTCTCTAACACCCAGTGGAAGAAGCAACAAGGGTAGCTAAGCCTTGAAGGGATTGGCCAAGGTTGTTGTAAGTGACTTTGTTGTGCAGGGTGACACTAAGGTAGGGTCTTGTGACTAGGTAGTAAGATGAGTGAAGAGTAAAGAGGTAGAGTGTTGTACCCTGATCCCCTTCCTCCTGCCTCCTATTTGTACTCATTAGTGAACTAAGAGTACAAAGTGAAGAGGTGATTGTACATTGTACAATGTACAAAGCACAAAGTACAATGTGCAATGTACAAAGTACGGAATGTACAATGTACAAGGTACAAAGTGCGGAATGTGAAACTATGTAGAAAGTACAAGTTGTTGCCCTGATCTTTTACACTCTTGTATCTATCAATCTGTGATGAACGGGTTTGTGTTGAAGCAGATCTTGGTCCTTCAGCGGTAATCTAGCTAGTCACTGCATAAGCAATTGCTTCACTTCACTCTTCTACTCCAAAGAAGATCAGGCGGATATAAGGATGGCTGAGCCTTGAATGTATTGGTATATGTTGGTATATTTTGTTTGAGGTTTTTGTGTCAAAGAGTGGCTCTGCTGTCCAGCAAAAACACAAGGGAAAGCTGGGCGGTGAGCTGGTAGTAAGATCAGCAAAGCGTAAAGAGGTAGATAAATTGTCAAGATATCCTGATTCCCTTTCCCTTGCTGCCTATGTATGTCTTTGGGGATTAGGAATACAACAGTCAGTTAGAATGTGAAACCTGTACCATCCAAATGTCACAGCTGTAAATCTACCATTAACAGACGACATGGTACTGCAACAGTACTCTTTTGAAGTTGTTCATATCAGCCACAGGTAGCCTTTCCTCCATGCAGCACTATATGGGTGATTGCATCGCAAGACTTTCTCAGTCTTGTTGGGTTGGAGGGGAGTTCAGCTTGAACACATAAACATTGTCTCATGCCTGTTACCGCATTCAGTACCTTGCCACTACCTTCTAGTCATGTGCAATACTATACTATTCAGGCTTTGCTCACAAATATACCATCAGGACAGTTGCAATGGCCCTGAGTTTGCTGTTCTGGTGGTGCATCAATGACCAGACACTAGTAGCGTTCTGCACTGATGTGTGGTCCATGTAGGAGGTGTGCATGCATGTATTGTGAGATTCTGACAGAAAAAAGAATGTTGAGATCTATTGTCTACCTACACATCTGTTGTTCAGAAAACATAGATCAGATGAGATCATACAGTACAGTGACTCCCTGTTGTTCTCTCACTGTTCCTCATTTCAATCAATTTGGTCTTGATCATACAATGCAGAAAAGTTTGATAGGAACTGGACCTGCCATTATTATCTTTGAACCTAGGTACATTTGATGCTGTCTTGCATTATATTTCAACACTCCTTGCATTGTTCCTTCTATTCTTAATGACCACTTGTAACTACAATCATAAGTTGTGTCCACAGTCCCAATCTTGCAACTCTGGCTGCAAGAGGGCCTTACCAGACGAGCTCTAAGACAGACCAGAACTGAGCCCAATCCCCTCTTGTACAATCTAGTTCCATGCGAACTGTGAAACAGTGATCAACTCAATATCACACAGAGAACACTTGCTAATTGCCATGATTGCAATCTGTCTGGGATCATTACATCTCCCTTCAATATGTCTGTGGCTTTTCAACTGCATATCCTGATCGATACTGGACATTTCCACATCCCGTCCAACCTCACAATCCTGTTGACATGACCCTCATGCAACCAGTTACTCCACCTTGGCGTCAGACTAGAGCTAGATTCTCTTCAACTACCAAAACCCATTAGGGTGACTATCAAAGCGACTTAGAGCTTACCTCAACTAGATATATATGATCAGCAAATCACTCATCCATTCGTGCAGATGCAAGAATGATACGTTTGGCAGGACCCGCGGTGTTCACAACCGACACGACGGAAGGCTGTGTTCATTCGCGTAACAGTCTCTATGCGAAAAGTAGAACACGGCGACGCGTAAAATATCAGTCACCGCGGTCACCGCAGAGGGATCAGGCCGGATCTCGAGGCGATATCGATATCCCTTTCGTTCTCTCTGCACGCTCTGCAAGAACGATACGATGGAGCTGCAACACTGTATCTTCCATCATCCCTCAGCCTTCTGGGTGCTTTCACATTTGGAAAAGCTCGAGGGAGGAAGACCAAGTTCGTGTCTTGCGAGCCGAAAAATAATAGGAGACCTCGACCCCGAAGACTAACAGTACCCCACGCCCAATCATCTCGTTCAAACCCGCCAGAATCAAGCTCGAACGGAGAGACGCCTCATCGGGGTCAAGAACGTCTTTCGATGCTGAAAAATCTCGAGACTATTGTCATCCGGAGGAAAGTGGTCCTGATCCGACCGGTCTTGGTTGATTGTTGATGGCAATGGCGAGATCTCGTTGTCGGTTATGAGGTGGCATTCCCTAGCCGAGAAGCAGTGTCGCTAACCAATTCCGATTTGTGCGGTCTTCTTCACCAGACATTTACTCGGTCCTTTCTCTCTGAAACATACGCCCGGATCTCCCCCTCAAACATCAGCAAGCGACACCAATAGCATCTCTATTCTCCTCGCAAACCGGCTTGGTACAACATCCCGCCCGCCCTTGGGACAGCTGCAGTCCGGCCACCCCCGAAGCACCTTGGTCGGGGTCGATTATGCAGGAGGCAGGCGGAAAAAGGTATCGAATCCCCTCTCTCTTGTGAGGGGGTCGGGCGGGTCTCGACCGGACCGTTGGGAAGCGGTTGCGGGATGGAATATCATTTGGTCTAGCCCGTTTGGTGAGCATTCCTGTTACCTCCCGATCGACTGTTTCATTGGGGCCGTCTTTCGTCTCCTTCGTCCTGCATCCCCTTTCCTGCCTGCCTGGTTCTTTCGGCTCGGACCTTTGTCGTGTCCCGCCGGTCTTCCTGCTCCGCCAATAAGCGCTGGCCCGACAAACATCAGATATATCGATGCTGAAGGTGTCATACAAATCGGCACGTCGTGGCAAACAAGCGAGTCAGAGGTCTCTCGTCAATGGCAGAGATAGTCGCTTCTCTCGCCCGGCAGAGGTGGTCCAGACCGACCGAGCGGTAGATCACGGGGATTCTTGGTCGACGCATTGCGGATGCTGGAATGCAAGCGAACTATCTCAGGTTAGAGACGGTCAACGACAGGCGTCATCTCGCCTAGACATACCTTTCTCAGAAAACGGATAGCGTTCATTAAAGCTTTGCAAGTGATCCTGGAGATTCACCGGTTGTCGCTTGATGAAAGCACTCTCTGACGGATCCCAGGCGGTTGGCCCGGTCAACAAATCTTGCTCTGAACTTCGATACCGTTGAGAGAATGTTCAAGGAGGTCGCTGGCATCAACCGGAAAAGTCCTTGCTATGCCCTGAAAGGCGACCTGAAAGGCGGTGGCAGGACTCACCTACCTTGAGAGACGGGAAAACAAAACTCAGATCCGCTCCGAAAAGGGTTGCGCGAGATCTGTACTTTGATCGGATACTTCGCTCTGCTTTACGTTTGGTTACTATTGCGACATGAGACCCTCGACATTATCGACTCCTCTGTCTCGCTTCGGATCGTTCCTTTCGGATCTCGTACGTCGAGCTTGAAGTCGTGAATCGGCCTCAAGACGGGTCGGCGATCGATTCTGGCACACGAAGTTCTGGAGATGCAGGGGTACCTTTACTGGGCGACAATGAAGGGGCTTGAGAACGGCGATATTGAACGGCTTGGACCTCGGTCGCCCATCCTCCATTCAAGCCGTAGGGGAATGAACACTATCACCAACATCCTCCACCTTGCCGAAGTGCGTATGCTCCAGCGTACGACGACACCAGCGAACAGATTCTCCACCCATCAAGGATCTGGACCTCGCCTGCGTTCAAAGATCCCGGTCAATCGTCTTTCAGCTCTTTGGCTCCGCTTCGTCTTCTCATCCCGTTCTACTCTCGACCTTCGTGCTGCTTCTGCCTCTGCATTCGTGTTCTCTGGTTGATGACGGAACGTCTGGTACCTTGTCCTACGAGCGACCATCGATCGTCGTCGATGAGCGTGACGGCGAGCTATTCTACGTCACTTGCCCATTTGGGAGTGAGTAGCGGGGCGGCAAGCAGCACAAATGATGTAACGTTCTCATATGATCGCACGAACGTATCCATTCGCCTCCTTTACTGTGACTGCATATATGCACCGTACTGTCTTCTTGATGTTGAAGCCATTACATGACAAAGCAAAAGAGGTAGCTCGCGACGGAGAACTGAGAGCTATTCAGCCGTGAGACGTGGGTTTTAGGCTAGGCAGGGGTTCCCCGGGGCTAGGGACGACAGACTGCTCCAGGTGATGTCAACCCTTCCAAAAACTCAAGTACATAACCCCTAATCCCGGTCATACAGGCTATGACCCGGCGACCTATTTTGATCCTCAACAGCAAGGACACTGGCGCCTCTCATGAGCGGATGAGGGTCACCGCCGTCGGAGCACAAAGGGATACCGAGGATGAACCAGTTATAAACTCGCCGGTCATTCGAGTGGCAACATTTTGGTTTTCACTGCATGGTCTGCACGATACTTCTTTTCGCGACGTTGACTATCCGCGTTTCATCTGTCGACATTATTGTTTCGTCTGCGGCAGCCATGTACATTTTTAATACAATCATCGCTTTTGGGAAGGAGCACAAAGGAGCGAATTGCGCTTGAGTGGCGAAGCCTTTTGAGATTGAGCGGTATTTTCCATCTCGATCGCACCCATGTGAACGCTCGTACCCCAAGTCATCCGTCCACCCACCATACGATGTCTTTTACTGAGGCGCATGCCATCCGCATACACATCGGCATCGATGCTAGCGCTGATAGCGCTTTTTTTCATACCACTCTCACGCCCAGTTCATCTGGCTGATGTCTGTTTCGCCTTTCTCTCCGTACTCGTAGTGTAGCCGATTGATTGCATGCAAGTCAGCATCGTCTTCATACCAACGACTCCATGCGCATTAGCAGGACAAGTCCTGATGACTCTGTGCTTACCTTGCCGTACCTTGGTGCGTCGTCTCGAGGAAGACCTCCCATCTCCCCCTGCGATCATGTCCGCTTCGCAGCGAGGCGTCCTAGTCAGCTAGTCAAGTCGAGGTCAACTTCTTGCGCTTTACAGCAACGATATCGATCTGCCTTGCTTGTTCTTGCTGGACAACCCAGAAGGCGGTTGGATGCATGCTTGGAGGTGGTGGTGGGGGAGTGGCGTCGGCGGTCCATATGCTGTCGAGCGCTTACCGCTTCCTCTTTGCTAATGCCCAACGGTCTTGTTATCTTGACGAATATGATGGGAGATTCCTGTTGCTATGATAATACAGGAAAGGGTGGGCCGAACGATGCTGCAGACAGTCGCGTCGATTGCTCCAATGTGTCAGGCTGCAGGTTCAACAACCACACAAACGTGTCAGAGGACTTCTTCTTCGTGAAGTGATAACGATGGTACGTGCCGTGAGATGTACGGTCCCCAGAGATTAATAGCGCTGGTTTGATGTTGTCTGTATCTATCATCGATCATCGAGGTCGACCACAGAGTTTGCCCATGTTGTTTGTTCCATATCTCTTGAGTTACGATCGACTAGCTGCGAGTTCGTCCTTGGAAGAGGTCCATCCGGCCGTTCCTTCCGGAGCCTGCAGGATAGCTTGACGATGGGTTTCCGCGACTATTGCTTCTAATCAGGCAAATCGTTGCTGCATCTTGACCGTGGCAAGGTCTAGGAAATGATCATGACGAACATGGAACTTCTATTCTCCTCGCTCGAGAGGGATAGAAATCCGAATGGTTGTCCGAACGATCGCAAACGCAATTCCTGCAGCTCCCGCATCTCCAGTCCTTGTGCTTCTGCCGCAGGGTCCTCCAACTATTCCGCTGAACTTGGTGCGCTCGCTCGAGTCGATCGATGGTAGCCTCACGTAGGGAGACGTTCAGCACCGCCTCAGCCCCGGCAATTGTCAGCCGCCTGTTGGTCTCCCTCAACTGGCGTATCTCCTCCTCCAATCCCGCCAATCTCTCCCGTTCCCGTTGTCCAGCTGTTTCAAGGACCTGCACCTTCCTGCTCTCGCTGTAAACCTGCCTTTGCATCTCCTGCAATATAGTTTCCCGGTGAATCTTGAGTTGTAGCGCAAAGAGCTTTGGCTGGGGACGGCGGGGAGGTTTGACACTTGAGATGATGACGTGTCGGCAAGACTCTAGGAAAGTTGGCGTTTTGGAAATAGCTCCATCTCATACCGTTCTCGGCGAGAGTAGCTACTTGCCCGAGTAGGCCGCCGTGCACACTGTTCAGGGAATCCTCCGTTCGAGACAAGACGGAGTAGATCGCCTCAGACCAGACCGCTGCCGGTCCCCAGACAGCTATCATCCTCCCGATGTAGCGGTCTTTGTCCGTCTTGAATCTGGCCAGGTGTTCCTCCCAATCCTTGAAGCGAGACTTCAGCATTCCGTCAGACAGGTAGAAGCCCATCGAGTCCAGATCCATGCGCAGGTCACGGTTGCCTCAAGGAACGTCGGGAAAGGCTGTCAATTTGAAGGACCGGCAAGTTGAAAACAGTCAGTACGTTGGGTTTGTAAATCGATCTGGATGTTCGACTCACGTTCGAGGGACCATTGTCCCGGAACGATCCGACCGTACACCTCGAACGTAGCATGTGATCTCTGCAACTCCTTGGCAGATCCGTGGACGTTTGGAGTCATAGTCCTGATGCAGAGTAGCAGGTCGAGTGAAGGTCCTCTATTTGATTGAGAAGGAATCATCCCTCTGATCGCCCGCAGAGCTTGGCCCGGCGGAAGACAATCAAGATAGTCTGGAGCGTAGGATACTCTTGAGGCAGGTCGGTCTGACGGTAGATGAGTTGTTGGAACTCTACACCGGCTGGCCATGCGGGGAGGAGGTCGAGAACTGGAGAAGATGTCTGTCCACATGAACGCGATCAGCAAATGATATCACAACAAGAACCACAACGTTCGACTCACAACACTGAAGCCCTGACCTGTGACCACAAGAGCTGATGCCATGCTCTCCTCACCTGGATCTCCAAAGCTGATATCTGGAATCTGCCTTTGTGTCGTTCGTAACTTCAAACAAAACCGGGGTGAGTACAAGAACGCCGCAAAGAACCTGTTACGGCGGAAGTTGCTAATGGGCGATAGGTCCTAAGTCGTAAGGCGTAGGGTGCTTAAGATCGATCGCAGGTAGTCGGGAGAATGTCGCAAGTTCGCTTAGATGAAGCGGGTTCGGGTGCGGGATACGAATCCAGAGATGTATGGATAAGGAAGGTGATCACTCGGTGTGAGGTAACGGATTCGGTCTAAGGTAAAACGATGAAGCGTAGATACTTAGCGACGTCCTTGAGTTGTAACCTCTCCGCAACACGTCTTGAAGATGTTGTAACAAGTCAGGTAGGCGTGTATTGAATGTGATATCGGAACTTGACCTATTACTATTACAGAGCGTCCTCTATCGAAATCGGTCAAGTTCCTCTAGCTATTTATACGGAGACGAGTACGTAGACGAGGCTGGCGAACACTGAAAAGACCCAAGAGAAAAGAATGTCGAAAGATGGCGAAACTGGGAGAACGAGATGGCGAACAGACTAATCCTGTCGAGAGCAACCGGATTCGGTAGAGGAGGCGAGTTTGTTTTTGCATTGTCCCTAGGTGCGTCGAGTAAGGTTGTCGAGGTCCTGAGTAAGGTTGTCGTGTACCTCGAGGTCCCTGTACCTGTTTGTGATATGCGTCGGGAAGGTTTGTTGTTTCGGTGAATGGTGAAGGCGAATGGTAGGGACGACCGAATCTGCTCCGAGGGAATCTGATTCGCCTCGCCGAGCCGGACTTAGGTGTATGCTGATGTCCGTAGATCGAACCTGTATGTCGGTAGTCGACTCACGTGATGATCCCGTAACAGAACCCCGCGAGCACGCACTCTTCCCTCCGATTGTGCAACCTCCAGCACAACTCGCAAAGCGATGACTCATACAAAGCCCAAACAATCCACTCCACCTCGAGAGTAGCCTCTCCAAACCATGTTGGCATACAGTTGGTAAAGAGAGCGTGATACACGCAGTTTTCTTACGTTTGAGGGTTGTGCTCGAGAAGGACCTGGTACCAGCGGTTGTAATCCTCTTGCGTCCCGTGAAGAGTCAGACCGAGAGGTACGGGGCCATCCACTGTGGGCTCGTCTACATTGGCCATGTTGTCGGCTCGAACACATTGCGAGGTGGTAGCGAATTGTGAGTGTAAATAAGAACTAGAAGATGATAGACAATTGATATAAACAAAATGACAACCCTCTCAACCTTCTCGACAGGCTTGCTGGCAGAACAATAGGCAAAAGGGAGTTTTGAAATGTAGATTGTCCCAAAACAAGCGCTTCTGCCGGGTAGCTCAATGACATGTCAAAGCAATATTCCTCAAGTTATCGACGGCGGACAGAAGTGTTAAAGTGAAAGTTGCCGGCAAACCGACTCGCTTGCCACAACAAGAATTGATTCAAGAGCGTAGACAATGGATATATCTCCAGAATGGACATCATGCAATTACAAATAGGTGAATTCTGTATCAACAATCACTCTCCTTCCCGCCGTATTTCTGGTGATACTTGACAATGATGCGAGGAAGCTTGCCATTGGCGGTTCCGTCGATGTACTGCTCGGGATGCCACTCTGGTTCCAAATACCCCTCAAACTTGATGCGGTAAAAGTGTTAGCCAATTACCACATTCCACCCAATGAACTTCTCCAACGTGAAGATGGTTGCAGCTGTCCCCGCATCATCATCCTCGTCGTCCTCATCGTCCTGGTCCATCCCATCATCCAACAAACTCACACCCCTCTTGGTATCCACATCCATCGGCGAGCTATACTGCTCAATACTCTCTGTGTGGACACTCTGAGTGGAGAATGATGGCGTTGCCACGATCAACCTGGCCCTTTCGAGAGGCGGAGGAGCTTGAGAATCAGCCAAGCCACCGGAAATCGTTACCGGCAATCCTTGTTGTCGCTAAGCGGATGGAGCTGCCGGAGTAAAGATCACCAACGTATCATCATTCTGAGCGGGAGGTGGCAAGAAGACTCCCAAAGCTGCTCAAGCTGAAGGAGGGGTCAAAATGTTGCCCGCGCCTGCACCTTGCCTTGGAGGCGTGACCAGATTGATGACGGTGTTTTGGGATCCGGGCGGAGTAGTGTACCAGATTCAAGCCTAATAATACCCTTGTGGGTTTCAAGGACACCAAGAAGTGGGACAAACTATCGCAGCGGATCCGTCAGATCGGCAGGTGCAGGATAGCTAGAATATGCAACCAAACGCCACCTTGTTCAAGACCTGGCGTGATCGATTCAAAGGGGAGGCAGACTTTGACGTCTACGAGTTTGTCGATCTAGAAGTAAAGCTCAATCCAAACAAAGTATCCAAATCAACATGGCTCACCCGGTCTGACCTCTGGAATTGTGAGCATCTGGTAGTGTTGGCTGGATGGCTTGGCACGATGAACAGTGGACCGGTTGGAATGCCACAAGTACAGGTATGTCCGCGCCCAGAATGAGCACGCACCTAGCAAATTACTAATTACTAACAAAGTGTCCGTATACACGTGGACCTCACTGTACAGTATGCTGTCCCACTAGCCTTGGTGACTAGGTATCCCGTCAGCTCTACGAGTACTGTCAAGATTGGCGCCGATGGTCAGGATGTCATCTCAACAGCGACGAGGCAGAAAGTGACGAGGCACTATCTTTGGGCTGGTCGTTTCAAGACTGAGGCGTCGTGTCTGCTTCCATCACCACGACCGGAGCACACCAAGCGTCCTGCACTGGGACCCGCAGCTGCATGTTACTTGGCAAGGGGATAACACAGCAACATGCGCTTACGGGGAGCACATTCTATTCTGCGGATTCTGGGCCTGGACCCAAGCTGTTCAAGCGGGCCATCCACGCGAACGGGAACGAGCCCATCGACGACCCGTTCGCCGATCTGCATATCATCGAGACTGAGACGGAGAGAATCGATACAAGGGCGGAGAGCTCTTCAACTTAAAATCTGACCTTGAACGCGGGGAAGATGGAAAGTCGGTGAATTTGGTAAGTCCTCGGATGTCCCGAAGTTATTTTCCCTAAATCAAACAGTACGCAATGACAAAGACAGGTTTCATAGCAAAGTCCATCTCGTGTCATCCACCGTCAACCTATGAAGAGGTAGGACCGACGAAATACTTGGCCAATGTGGGTCCTCGATCGTGTCTCGCTGTATCTGATGCTTCTTATGCTAACGCTAGTTTCATGTTCTTCTGCGTATAGCTCTGGGGCGAGCAGCCATGACAATCACCATCACCACCCGGACCCGCCATCACGCTCTTACCCCGCCTGCACAACCTATGGGCGTCGAACCTCTGCTCTCGAGTAGTATGTTGACTCGTTCATGCCTCTGCCGCCGCAATCCTGTCCCATCTTTGCTGATCGTGGTTGTTCACATTCTTTCTGACAGATCTGCCGAAATTGCAGAACTCAGGCGGTGCCTCTGATGAGTCTTACAGCAGGCTTTCAGTCCCACACGCAGCAGTGAACGATTTCGTCAGCGTTACCTTCGCCGTCAATCATCCAGAGGCATCGCTCAAGGAATTCGGCTCAACACAACTTCATTTTGCCCATCTGAGGCAAAAAAAAACGAGGCCTCAGACATGGGTCGTCAGGCGAAATCGAGGGGCCTGGTCCTCGCTACGGATCGTGCACCTTTCCGTTATGAAGGCGCAAACCCGTTCTAGCGGAGCTATTGAGTGCCGGTGCCTAAACCGTGAAGGGTTTGAGCTGGGAAAGAAAATGAGGCATAGAGCAAGTAAGTCTCGGGTGCCGTGGCATGCTCGAACCATAGAGAACGATCCCTGATAGTCCGCTTCTTGTATTTGCAGTGCCTCGAGTTGATCGCCAACGAATCCCCACACGACAGTCGACGCCCTTCTGTCATCATAGGACGGTAGCCCGCAAAGCTCGATGATGACAGGTGCGTCAGTCTGGGATCACGGTGCGTAGCGCTCAATGATGCTAACCGCTCTATCTCTTCTCCTTTCTATTTTCTTCTCTTCGCTTGGTCCCGCTCTAAGATCTGACGGACTCGGATCTTCCTATACTCTTCCTTGTCGGGTGTCGTCTTCGATCCAGCTTGGCACGGTCGGCGTTACGCAGCCCCTTGGGGCTCCAAACAGAGGGGAGTTCGACAAGCCTGAGCGACTTCGTTCAACACGACAGCACTTCGTTCCGAAAGGACGCTTATAACAACCCATATCGCGCATGTGAAGAAGGCCAGATCTTACAGCTCTGGTGAGTCGCGCTCGATTTCGAGTTTAGTTCTACTTGTAAGGTAGTATTGCGGATTTTCAGCTTATGTATAACACGATGAAATCGGCTATGTCGACGTTTCGCGAACCTCGGTCTGAATGCAGAGGTATCTTCTTCGTTACCCTCCATCCCGAAAGTCATGAGATCCCGTCTTTCGGAGCGGTTGGGCGCACAAGCGTCCGACCCAACGCAACTAAGGCCGCTCATTCGAGCAAGTGCGAAGGCGGAGTGTGGGAGAGCGGTACATGTCAACTCATCATATACAGGTTACAGGTTTGGTATTCGAAGGCTTCGATCGCTTGCTTTTCTTGCGAGTTCTGTTGTAACTTGCTCGCAAACATACACGCGTTCGTCCGCTTTGCGCCTTTTGCTTGGCGCCTTGCCTTCGGATATTGGAACAGAGATCTAGAACTAGGCTGCTCTATTTGCAAGCCTCTAATCCATACATATCGGCTACAAACGCTACGATACACTGATACATGTGCGCCAATGCGTGCGGTGCGTTGTGGAAGAGCTACGTGATACGATTTCAAGAAGTCCGCCAATACTTCCCATAGCGGTCGGGGCGCGACTCTGCCCGTGGCTATCGAGGTCGCGATTTAGGTTTGCCCCGGGCGCCTCGACGGCCTAGTTTATCTGACAACCACTTGCGCAGATGCGCGCTGTCCACTTTGACTGCGGGCAGATCCCCCATTGGTATCTACCAGGCGGGCCGGTTGAGCGTCGTAACGAGATTGACAACGCTGACCTGAACTCACGCTCTCATCCAGCATTCTATTGTATATTTCGTCGGGTCCCCCGGTGGTAGTAAAGCGCTTTATTACCACCGGACGCTCTTGACCCCTGCGCATCAGGCGACCGGTTATCTGCATGAGCGCTGCCTTGCTTCGTCTGGAAGAGTAGATCCGTCAGAGCTGAAAGAGCGATTCGCAACTGCAGAGACAATCCGAGAGACACTCACGGCGTATCCAGTATGAAGAGATGGTCGCACATTTGCAGATTTTTCCCCTCAGAAAGGGGGGTTATCGGTCCCATCATGACACGGATGCGCTTGTCGGTGGCGAATCGCGTCAACAACTCGCTTTTCGTATGGCGATCTTTCGAATTGGAGTCGTAGATGATCATACTCGTGTCGGGCTGCGTCGTGCTTGTCGCCTCCCACGAGCGGATTCCTAACTCTTCAAGGTGATCCTGAAGGGGTCCGTTGAAGGCATCGTCCTGACCGACGACGAGGATCTTAGAATCGGCGTTGGCCCCGAGTGCCGAGAAGATTTCCTGGCTGTGCAAGGCAGATGAATGATCTGTGTCAGTCCCGTAATGGCAGCTCCTCGGCCTGACCAACTCACCTGACGCTGGTAATCTTGGCAGATAGCGCTACCTCATCCAGAGCGTTACGAAGATGCTTGCCAATCTTATCGCCATGTAATTTCACCAAGGATTGGTTCGCGTCGAACCAAGCTTTGAAGGCTTGGAAAGAGAACGAGAGCTCCTGTAGATAACGAGCTCATTAACCCGTGTCTCGCTCAGAATCAAGCGTCGCACATGCACTTACCCGCATCCCGGTCAATATCTTCATAGTTGGCGAATCCTCTGGGATTTTTTGGGTGGGGAGCGATTTCTCCTCGCGCCTTGACGATTCCACATGCCAAGACAGCCAGATCAGTTCCAACGGATCGACGGTGACGCGATCTATACACCTTACCTGTTCTCGAACTCGCTCAAGCATTTTAAGAGGTAGAACGCTGTAGACAGACCATATCAGTACGATTCATCCGGTAGTGGAATCCACTACACGCACCTATGGCGGACTCGTCTTGTCCTGGGGAGCATAAGACGATATGCGTCTTCGACTGACCGAGACCACGACTTCTGAGCCACTCGTAAAAGTCGAAGTGTCTCGACATGTAAAATGGATGTTTCAAAAGCCGGTGCATGACTTCCGACTGGCTTTTTGGGCTCTTTCTTCGTTGTTTCGCCCACGGGCCAAAGGCTTTGTCCGATTTGAGAGACTGCAAGATGCAGATTGTCAGATAGAGATCGCTCATAGCAAGATATCATGACGTACATTTATCAATCGTAACGGCGTCCAGAGATCCAACATGCTTGTTGGATTAGGTGTCCCCGACAATAGCAGGACGTGCTTGATGTGTTCTTCGTCTGCGTACGAAGTCGCAACCTTGGCTAGACGCGTCCGAGGATTCCTCATATGCTGGACTATTGGTATCGAAACTCGACGTCAGCTCGTTCAAGAAGAAGTCCAAAGCAAGCATAGCACGTACACTCATCGGCGATGATCCGGTAAGCTATGAACTCCGACAAGTTGATATTGACAGGTTGCGAACCGTCCTCGTTATGGGTAACCAGATCCTTGCCAGATTGCGACAGGGTGGCCGTTGTGCTACCGAACGATTGTAATAGCTCGTATGCTGTAGTCGAGGCAAAATATCCCCAACAGAGATGAGCCGGGTCCCCAATTACGTTCCAAGGACTACATACATAGTATCACGATCGGAAACTTTGAATGGAGGGGAAGAGAAACCGGCATCAGCTTGTTGATCGAGAGAATGTGGTCAGCTCACTTACCTTGGTCCAGTCGGTTCTCAGTGTGCCCCAATCGCCTCCCTTGGTGATGCATGTAGACTTTTCCGCGAGCTGGGGAACATGCTTCTCAATCTCCGCCTGTTTGATCAGAGAGAATGGCAGTCGGTCAGCAGAGCGCCAGGCACTATAGGGTGGCAACAGGAAACGTACTTTCCAGACGTCTGCCTGAATCCCGCTGGGACACAGAATCAGGGTAGGGCGAACCGATCCCGTTTCCCCAATATCCTTCATGAATATCGTAAGGGCAGTGCATGTTTTGCCCATCCCGACGCTGTCGCACAGCAAGAACCCGCGTGTTTCCTTGTACGGCTCATCGGCCTGCGAGATCGACCGAAGCAGTCAGTCGCGAGCTTCCGTCATCATACGGTCGAACAAACAAGGGGTACTGACCAATTTCCATATACTCGCTGCCGCCGTCAACTGCTGACTAGTCAGAGGCCATTTCATACCGCTGATGGGCATGTCTTCCGAATCGAGGCCCAGAACCGTGAGCGCATCGGCTATCCTCATCGCGTCTCCATCCCAAGGTATCGCTCCGAGATCCGGGATCTTGTCGAATGAACCCTTTGTACTCTGTTCGGCGACCACCATGGCCGCGTAGCCCCTGACCAGGTCGTCTTGCTCGAGATCGGCTTGTGTCATGTCGAACCGAGTCTTGATATATTCCCTTGCCGCTTCGGACGTGTGGAAGCCGAGTCTCAAGAGGCCTTCGTCGACGTCTTCATCCGCGTCTCCATCCGCATTCTCATCTTGTTCACTTGTGACGACGAAGCCAAGGGCGTCCGGGGGTTTGACGATTCGTTTCTTGCGCTTGCCATCTTCTTGTTCTTCTCCCTCCCTCGGCCGCTTCAAGGTGGGTTCGGCAGGCTGCTAGCATGAGATCGGGAGCCATGCAACTTGCGTGAGCTCCAAATGCCTTCATGAATCTAAACTCGTCCTGACAGGCTTACAGGAGCGTCCGGCCGAACTGCTTCTACCCGAACACCTTCCATTCGAATAGGATCCCCATGAACGCCTTGGATGCCGGTCTCCAATCGATGTTGTTCCACCCGTGCACAGTGTCTATCGCTCAGTATATGGGCCTGAGATGATGGTCAGCGACTCTGTACTGATCGAAACATCCCGGAACCGGTACTCACGAGGCATTGACTCCAATCGTCCATCTCGTCTCGGAAAGGGTGATGCACCAGCATTTCGAAAGAGTAACCCGATTCATCTGTCCTGCACTGGCCACCTATGTCGAGTCATTGGGTATTCCGGGCATGTATTAAGAGGGTTGGAAGATATGATCCCCGGAGAATGTTCCAGCAGAGCCCGGATCGACCGTAAGACGTATATAATCCCGATGATCCGGATTCGAGAGGCAGAGCAGATGATAAACAACACTGTCAGCGAGAGTAGCCCGTTTAATCGTTGACCTGAGCCTCGTCACTTACACTGGACATAACACCTGTTCGGCAACTCGAGCTTGGAGTAAACCAGCGGCTCGATCATCTCAAGCGAAGACTGGATGACCAGTCTTCTAAAGATGCTGATAAGAATCGGTCGACGGGAGGCCGCCTATCGTCATAGATTGGGGTATCGAGGGTGATCCCAAAGAGGCGGGTCCGGCAGGATGGTAGGTCGGGAGAGGTGTGTGATCCGAGGTCGATGAGGGAAGGGAGCGAAGAAAACACAACAAGAAAAAACGAATACAAGGTTATCAGCGACATTCGCTTTCAAAAGAGAGACATATCCACATCCCGTAACAGCGAGCAAGGGCTTCTTCAACGACCCGATCACCCCCTTCTCGCATCACCTCATACGCTCATTCCCGTTCACATCCGATTTTTTTCGTCGTACAACCCTGATCGGGTTCGTTTCTCCTTTTTCCCCTCCGCCCCTCCGCCCCGTACGGTCCCGTCCTTCCATCCGATTTACGTTTACGATCCCAGCTTGCCCCCCTCCCCAGCCCTCCAATTCAAATCTCAATCGGACCTGCACACACCCAATCCCAACCCTACCCTTCCCTTGCGCCCATCCCAACACAACACGCCCCGGTCGTCCATCCAAGCATATCCAACCAAATCAAACCAAGCGGAAATCTCGTTCGACTGACCGTCTCCTTATCCGTATCCTGCATGTCCCTCCCGAACTTCCATACCAGGTATTCTAATCGCCTCTGTTCGGCGTCCGTAGATGTAGGCGTGAGTGTAGATGTAGATGTGGATATAGTTGTAGATGCAGGTGTAGATGCAGGTATAGATGTAGATATAGTGGTAAATGTAGGTCTGGCGGGTTCGGGTTCGATCATCTCGGCCCTTATAAGATTACCACTTGCACTCGCTCGATCCCCAAGATCAGGATTAGGGTTAGGACCGGGTGCGGTCCGAGTAAGAGCAAGGTGGTCCGGAGAAGTTCCCTGCGTCTGAACCGGAACCTGGACCTGGACCCGAGATCGAGATTGAGATTGAGTTCCTGGTGCTCGAGAAGATGATCCGGGAGTCGTAATCGGAGTTGGAATCGGAATTGAAGTCGAAGTCGAAGTTTGAGTTGGATTTTGAATTCGAGTTTGCGATGGTCCAGCAGCAGCTGAAGAAGATCCTCTTCCCTTTCGACCTGAAGAAGAATCAGAGCCTGCACGGTCGGATAATCCCGCGTCCGAAGGTCGGACCGGAACGGATCCTTCAGCTTCAAGCCGAGTCCGATGACGAGGGCCAGACGTGGACGTGGACGTATGACTTTCGACGATTGGTGAATCCTGAGGAGGTTGGAGGTGTGATTGCAATGTGGGCGCCGACAAGCCCAAACGCGCCGCCGTGTGTGGATTGTCGAGTAAGGGTAAGGGAGAGGGTAAGGGAGTTGCAATTGGTGCATGTGCTATATGCGGGGAGGAAGGGATCCCACCACTACTGCTATTGTCATTATTTCGGCCAACAAGGTTTCTGGGGTTAGGTGAGGTTGAGGTGTCCGAAGGAAACTTGTCCTTATCCTTGTAGGATACAGACCGACCTCTGATCACGTTCAAGTTGGTCGTAATCGTAGTAGGGGTTGGTGAATACGTTCCTCCGCTCCGGCTTCGATTCCGAGCCGGGCCTGCCCAGGTTTTCACGGCGGTGGCGGATGCACCATCCCGGTTTCCTTCGACCGTTGCAGGCCTAGTGGAGCTGCTAGGTAGTTGTAACCGATCATAACTGACGATCCCCTCGATGGGAAAAGGTGCAGGCCTCAACGGCGATCCCTCCCTTCCCCCATCGGACCCCAAGCCTTTCGAGAATGAAGACGACGAAGAACAAGAAGCCTCTCGAGCGACCTCGTTTCCCTCTCCTCTGGTGAAATGCAAGAGTAACGAGGCCGCCTCCGAGTCAACTCCTTCCGTATGAGTATGAGCGATAAGTTCCGATCCCGATCCTGATCCTGAGATTGTAGACGGAGCAGAGGGTGGTGTGGGGGTGATCAACTCGTCGATCCGCATCCAGAATCGACCTCGCAAGTCCTTCCAACGTCCGGTTTGATCTCGTGCGTCCGAATCCGATCCGCCCGGGGTGTTCTCTCGTTACGACTGACTGAGGGCAAGGGCGTGTATATATATATATGGTTTGTGATCTAGCTCGTCGTTCCCAACTATCTCTCTGTGTTGAGAAGTGATTGCCTCCCTTCGAATAGCTGGATGGATGCTCGTGGGGGGTTTGTTGATAAAGTCAAGGGGGTCGAGGGGGTCGAGGGGTTCGGAAGGGAGGAGTGGTTACGTAATTAGAGCGCGGGTAATCGAGGAGTCACGTGAGCAACCCTCGGTCGGAACCGAATGAATTACCTAATCACACAGGGTTAGGGGTTGCTTCGGATCAGAGGCATCCAGCTAACTAGCAACTACTAGCTACTAGGGGTCACCCGGCTCATCCACACTGACTAGACGAACCACTCACTAGAGATACTCTCGGCTCCGGATAGATTCGTGGCCATACTCTCGGGGATACCCCGTGGCGATCATGTCTACGGACCTGCCTTCCACCCCACAACCGTAGCCGACCATGACGACCGAGTTTACCAACGTCCGCTTCGTACCACCACCACCATCATCCTCATCTTCATCATCTCGACCACATCCCTACTCCTCGGACATAAACCCACCTTCTCGCCGCCCTCGCCCCCGCCAGAAGAAGAGCGTCGACTACAAAGACCGCAAGGCCGTCAAAGCCCGACACCTCTCCCGCATCTTCCCCTCAGACTGGCTCGAAAAGTTCGCAGCCAAGGGCGTCACATGGGATTCTCCCGATGCGTACGCCATGTACTTGCGGGTCCATCAGAGGCTCTTCCCGTGCGAGTTGGAGTCCAATTTGAAGGCCGATTTGAAGGACAAGGATAAGGAGACGGGAGGAGCGGATGGGAATGGGAAGCAGAAGGGTTATAAGGGTGCTGGTGGTGGGGAGGCTTTGGAGAGGGAAGAAGCGATGCAAGGGACCCTACGTTGGATATTGAAAGAGGTCGGGGACTTTATGCTTCAACAAGGTCTGAAGCCCAATAACAACACCAACAACGTCGACTCCAATACGAACGGACGAACCGCAAACGGTGGTGAGATGGAAGACGGCGATAGAACCTCTACGACAACAACTTTCCTCGCTCCCGAAGACCAGGTGGCCTCTTCCTCGACGATAATCCCCCCTCCAGCCCCCTTAGAAAAACCCTTACTCCAACCCCCCCGTGGGACCCTCGCATACCTCGTCTCCCGGTCATACGAACCCTCCTCCTACGTATCCTCCCTGCACACCTCGACCTCGAATTCAACCTCAACCTCGAGCTCGAATCCCAATACCAATCAAAACCAGGGGAGTAAACGCAGACGTTCCCTCGATTCATCATCATCATCTAGCGAATTTACACCTGCATCTACCCGGGTTGGAATCGGATCTTCCAGTAGTAAACGGAGGCGCGGTCGATCAGGACCATCCCATGCCGAATTCCGTGGGGGTACATCTACATCTACACCTTCAACATACCATCGCGATCACGATCACGATCACCATCACGATCACGATCACGATCCCCATCACGATCACGATCACGATCCCCATCAGGATCATCGGAACGGGACCCTTCTAGGCAGGGTTAAAGCGAAGAAGAAGAAGTATTGGGAATTATCCGACCGGGTGGTCTGGTTAGATCGGGATCTGGGGTATGGGGTGCTTTTCCCTCGTCGGGAAGATGGAGAGGGATTAGGTACGACTGGGAGACGTCCAGAGATTGGGGAGGAGGGGGATGGGGAAGGGGAGGAAGGGGAGGAAGGGGAGGAAGGGGAGGAAGGGGAGGATCTTGAAGGGGAAGGGCTCGAGAGGACGGAGGTGGAGGTGCCCGAGGTGCGGTTTTATAGGTCCGGGTGGGCCGTTGGGGTCGACAAGCGATCCGGAATGTCCAACACCTCCCCAGATATTTCGGACCCAGGCAGACCGGGAAACCCGGCAGAGGAGGACGATGATGATGCTTCATCCGATTCTTCGGGGTTAAGCTCGGACCCTACCGAGCGCCTTCCGCAAACCGAAGAGAACCCGTCGTTCGAGTCCACTTGGACGCTCCGAATCTCTTGTCCCGGGCAAGACCCCCTCGAGCTCGATGATGAAGACCCTGAACCGGCAGAGTATATCCTCCACGTCCCCCACTTGGCTCCTTGTCTACCGAACAAGCAGACGGCGGAAAGACTGTTGACCGACATCTTGCTCGGCGTACCGTCCCTCCCGCCTCTGCCCGAGACGGTCTGTCCGACCCGGATCGTCAATGCACAGGTGGACCTCCTAGCCGAGATGATGGCGGGTCCGGAGGATGTCATCACGATCACTCCCTCGTTCAACGACCCAAAGGACGCTTTTCCGTTGGACGTCATCCCCCGAGTAAACACTCCGGCTACCGACTGTTCGTGCCGGGTGGACCAGTTGGATTTCGATGGCGCTTGGTTCGAAGTCCCATCCTCTGGGCTCGATCTCTCAACGGACTTCCAGGAGGTCCTCAACGAAGTCTTGCACGGACCGAGCAGGCTGTTGGGTCGACGGTTGACGGTCATGCTCCGAGACGTGCATTTCTGGATCGACAGAGGGTTGCCTTTTATGGCACGGTACATTACCGATCATTCCAAGTGGATCCAAGCGTTAGGTTGTCGAGCCATCCCAGCGTCTGCCCCCGACCCGAGCCCTACTTCAAACTCAAACTCGACAACCAGCTCGACGGTGACGATTTGGCCAGCGGGGGCGTTGGATGAACGTCCAGCGGCGTTGGTCCCACGTGTCTTGACGGTAGGACATGGGTTTGTCCTCTGGGCCACCCCCGTGAGCGGGAGTCCGGCACAGCAGTGGACGGTCGATGTGGCCGGTCCGGGGACGACTTTGGTCATACCGTTCGAGCGTAGAGTCAGTCCCCCCTATGGCGTTTACTCAATATCGTGCTAAGAGTCGGGTCCTAAACGCTGTTCCTCTACCCCTTTGCAGATCGTGATGTTTCATTTGACGGATAGCGCCCTCATCGAGACGGAAGTGTGTCATTATCAACTCGCGGATCCGCTGCGTAGGGTGCTGAGTCGCAGGGAAGACGAATCGGGACCGAACGCCTTCATGTCGGACGAAACTACCTCGGAATTATTCTTGGCGATTGAAAAGGTGAGCCTCAAAGCAAACGACCAACCTCCTAAATGCCGCCCCAAAAGTCACACTCACACACGTCACATCGGATTGGATCTTGCATTGCAGATGACGGAGAGCGTCCAACTAGAGGACCGGATCGCCGATTACACCTTTACCCGCAAGACCCTGTTGGAAGTATGCGATTCGGCGAGGAAATTGGCGGCGCGTTCGCAGAAACGGCGGTTCATCGCTCAGAAGGAAAAGTTGACGGTCGCTCTGGAGCAGAAACGATCAGGGTTGAAGGGGGTCAGCTGAGAGAGATTTGGTCGATACGGTAGTTATGGATGCTTGAGACTAGAATGGAGGTCGCACTTGAGGTTAGTTGTATGAACTTCTTGCTGTACCTATGCGAATCCGTCGTGATCTTGATCGAGAATTGGGCTTCGGTCGCCAAGAGAGGCAATGTCATACACGCTGTTTGCCGATGTCACTACTGTGTTTCAGCCCGGCTCCACTTTGTCATGAGAATCTGTCCTCCTATCATCATGGACGTCTTTGAGCAAATGTTACGCGCTTGGCTTTTGCCTATAAGTGATCGAAACGCATTTCGATGTGGTAGCTCATATGCCAAGGGCCTCATGCGTAGTAACGATAATAATACTAACAGTAGCACATCGAGACCAATATCTTCGACAGAGACTGACGTCCGCTCCGAAGATCTCGATAGTCGACTGCGAAACCTGGTTTGTCGGGCGTGTGAGCCAACCTATATACCCAGGTTGATATACGACCGAATGACATGAGATGAGATGATTGCGTGTCAAGTGTATGAGATACCCAGATGCCAGATGCGTATTTCCCGAACACAAGTACAATCCGTGCAGTCGCTTAGTGGAACTGTCGAGTCTTATTTATTCTCAGGCCTGTCTAGAACTCTGCGTTCTTCGATGACGCGACTCATGCAGAAGGGGTGAGCAGGGTCCTCGTATATCGTATTCCGGCCCGAATACGAGCATTAGGTATCGATAAAGCCACTCATATACCACAGATCGAGGAGTACGTCGTGTACTTGTTTGTAGCTTTGGGAACTTGTAACAAAGTTATAACCTGGCCGTTTGCTCTGGACATCCCACGCCTGATATCGAGAGGGATGCTTTGCTAGAACATACGCGCGATTCTCGATTCGAAACTCTCATCTTTTATTATAGGACCTTCCCCACGTCCTCCACTGCTGCGGCCTTACATCACAAGCACAACAAGAAGGCCTGAATGGACTCGTGTGTCTACCAGTCCTGGCTAGAAAAGGCTAGTTGGGAATGCCGAAGCCAGGATTGCCGATGGTCGGTAATGATTCAGGTGAAACATGGCTTCAATGGTTCGTCTCGCTTCGTATAAAAATGTTGTGTACATCTATGTCAAGCCGGCCAACTAAATGCACGGTTTGCTATAGTGGTTTATATAGGGAGTTCTTGTCTAGAATCTTACGCAAGGTGGTCTTTGGTTCGACTTTGAACCAGGACAATCTTTTTGACTTTTTTGAGGTTTCATTCCGTACGCAATACACATGAGTACGCACGATTCCCGTTGCCCTGGAAAAAACGAAACCTGTACAAGTGATGCATGATGCAATACAGGAAGGGTGCCCAACCGCCCAACTCCTTCTCATTTATACGGAGGCGACTCTAGCCATTAGCCATTAGCCATTAGCCATTAGCCACCAGTTCGGGTCGAGCGATCCGCACCTTTTGGGTTCTTGGATCTGGACCGGGTATCAGGTATGGGTACGAGTACGGGTAGGGGCCAAGCCGTTGCACCTGGAGCACCACGAAGCTCCGATTCGACCGAGGGCAGCCGGACGAGATCAAATAGACATAAAGACAAGGATAAAGCAGTATACCTTCAGCGAGGTCAACGAAGAACAAAGGGCCGCCGGAACGAGAGATAGAGATAGGGTCGACGACGAAGCTCAACACGGGACGTTTGCATCTTCGAGGGATTCTAGACGACTCTTGCGAATATGTATGACGGCTATCAGGGTCAAGGCATAGCGCTTGGTCATCTCGGACTTTCTCCAACACCGTACCAGCAATTCGCTACCATATAAAGCTCTTCATAGTAGAAACCGACTCGGACCACCAAATTCAACTCTAATTTCAACGCTACCTCCTGGGTACACACATGTTCTTGAAAGCACGCCGGCGGGGTTTTGCGTCTTCATCTCGATATTGATCGATACATTCAATCAGAAGTTCTCATCGGGAGGTCATCAAAAGGAGAAAGACGGGCTCTGTGGATGTGGGTGGTTCTCATGAGGAAGACGAGTCGAGGATGCAACGTTGAGGTCTGGCTCGAGATATAACATGAAGGGAAGGGTCGGAAAGGGAAAACATGGGGTGTTCTCGTGGACTCCGGGTTCCTACACATGGTCACTGTTCTCCAGCTAGGGCCCAACACGGACGGCTTTCTTTCTCCTCTGGAACGGGCTTTCGTGGTAATCGAGGTTAGCAGGAGGTTAGGTCTGCAAGGTTCGTAGCGAGGACGAACACGAGAATGTACCTCTCGGCATACTCTGCAATCGGAGATGCTTTGTGTTGTCTGCCAAGGATCACAAAAGTTATTTGAAGCCCCGGGGTTTCAGACCAACATCAATAATCGAGAAGCAGGAAACGGGAAACGGACACCGCTGGACGTTTACAAGAATGCTTGAAGATTTGTTGGTTTAGGGATTATCAAAGCAGTTGAAATCGTGGATGAATTCTTGCCCGGAACAGAGCGCCTCGAAATCGCTCGAAGCTTCGAAGGATGAAATCAGCTCATGGAGTAGTGGAAGATCTCCGAGGTATCGACATATCGGCTCCTCGGAACCGGTATCCCAGCTTCGAGAAAGGCGGCTTGCGACAAACTTCCTAGAATGCGATATCTCTGTCAGTCCGATCAGCACTTCGGCGATGAACAACGCGCTGGTGGTTCCAAGCCGGCCGAACCTCCAAGATTTTCTTTGCTCGAACGTGGCATACTTGACGCATATGAAAAGGCAGGATCGTCGGGTCTCACCTACAGTAACTGTTCGAGGCGAAAAGGCGCTGGAGTGTTCTCTGTCAGCGAAGTGGTGGATTGCAAGGCAGAAGACCTCAACACATAGGATCACAGCCCGATTCGACCTGCCAGAATGACTCGTCGTCACCAATCGGAGCGGAAGGGGAAGCGAGAGACGCTGCCAGACGCAGTCAACATAGCTTTTACGCACTAAATGATTCGAAGGGTTATTGGTCACGAAGCTCGAGCGTAGACGGAAACGACATGGCAAATCGGGTATCGGGCGGTCAGATCATCCCAGCCATCATTTCAGCACTTCGCCTGGATGGTTCGACTCGAGTCAATTCGCCCTTGCGTTGGTAGCAATATCGATGTCATCACTGGTGGAACGCAGGGGGACACAAAAGGCTTCGATCGATCAATCGGATTTGTCAACATGGGAAATCCATCTTCGGTGGAATATACCTGCGCAAAGTCACACGGTAGAAAGCCTATTTCGAATCGCTCTTTTCGTGGAGCCGTTGGAGACATCAAGATTCAGCCTTATGTCGTAAAGTCTGTCTAGAAGACAAACCCAGAGTTGGCAGGCGTACCGTCGTTTCGGGTTCAATCGGGTACAGCTGGGTACTGGAACTATCACGGGACAAGATCTCCCATCCGAAAAGATAATCACAACGATATTGCTCTCCGAGATCCTCGCTGAAGGTCTGGAACGAATCGTCCGCTACTTCTGGCTCAGCTCGATGATCATCTGAAGGTTACCTCGAGCTCGCCAACATCCGAACCCTCCGCAATTACGCATCCACGCGACACGCGAGCGCCTCAACGTCGTCGATCGAGAAACACCTCTAGCCTCCGACTATCTGCCTCACGGACGCACGAGGCCCCGGTTAGGAATTGCTGGCAATCACTCGAGTGGAAAAGCTTTCGGATCCCCAACTTCTTCGACTGTTCCCATCATTCGAAACCCAGGTTGTCGCGCTACGAAGGGATGCTAGAAATCAATCCTTGAGGCAGGAACAATCAAACTTTGCCTGTTCGGTTCTGGAATCGATCACTACGAGAGGCGAGTTGTGCGCAATCGGCGCATCGTCGGCGAGACAAATCTCCCTAGGCGGCTCCGACTTCTACGAATCCCATCGACGGGATGCACTCGTTAATTGGCATCGAGAGCAACAAGACCGGGTTACATTCGAAGTTCACCCCGGTTACCATCACAGCAACCTGTCACTACGGCATCCGCTGATGGCATTAGAAGGATGAGGAAACGTCCCAGATAGAGATCTTGGCTCCCTGTCGGTTCCACTTGGAAGGACGTGCACGAGTCGTTCGACGTTGAGGTTGCGACAAGAGGATTGCCCGAACGGATGCAGGAGCGGGACTTCATTCCAGAAACATTGACGGGATTTCCTTCGCAACGGGTTTGCAACGCACCACGACTTCGCGCTGCGCTGTGTCACATCCCCCAAGTGCACCACGTCTAGGTCGCCACTACCTTACGAGAACGGCTTGGGAGCCATCGAGGGCGTCGACCAAACACGATATACACATTGATCGTAAGAAGAGCTCGACTAGGTCGATCTCTACCACACTGATGGTAGACCGCCGTCCGAAGCTGTTCAGCGCCGCTGCTCGGACACGCTCCCGCATCGCCGCTTCAACCTTCGGATATCCCCACGAAGGATCCCCCTCCAAGTGCGTCCGGACCGCCTCTCTCCATTCAGTCCATTTACTCCACGCTGTAATTCCGTTTCTCTTCATGCCGGAATCCAAAGCTCGAAAGAGACAGTTGTGGACAGGCTAATCCCTAACCTGTAAGTAAATCGCTAAAAAGGTGTTCTGTTTTCCCGCGGAACTCGCTGCATGATATCAGCTAGATGTTGTGACGTACGCATAGCATGAATGCTCCCAAAACCTGAAGACTTGTAGTCGCCGAGGCGTTTTGACTATAACGAATTAAATCGTTCACTTCCGTTTTCTGAATACACTTGGCTGAAAACACGACTCCCCCACCCGCGCTCAACGCTGCGTCATGCTCTGCCAAGTCACTCAACGTGAGATTAGATGCGCCTTGCTCCAGGTCTTCCCCCCTCTTCCTCGAATCTTCGGCCAATTTTTCAGTCGCTGTAGCTTCAACGCCGTCGTTCATTTGTTGAACGTGACCACCGAGTTCATTTGACCGCAGTAGGGGATGACATAGTGTTTCAATGGACAGGATCCTCTCCGAGCTAACGCTTAGCAGGAGATTCAGGGCCAATTGGGAGTGTTGGAGGTCAGGACAAGGTCCCCGCGATATAATTCGAAGGAGATGGTTTACGCGAGGGAGGTCATGGCAGCATATCGTCTTCGCCCTGCACGGGTGATTAAGCGCTTCTGCATTCGGCTGCGCCTGTTGGGCGCAAGCCGAGCAAAAGAGGGCTATGAGCCTGGGATTCGAGATCTCAGCTGCACGCGCTCACATGCAGATTATCAGAAAGCATGAGCTTGACTGCATCCCTACCCCATGGTCACCGCATCCACTCGAATCGCATTCACTGATTGGGATTCTCGTACGTTTGAGATCACGCGTTCGAAAGATCACGTTGATGCGGTCATTTTCCCTTCCGCAATCACTAGACTACAATGACCACACCCGGATCAATGAAGAGTCGTCTCGAAAGCCCTAAAGTCCTCAGACCTCCCACCTGAGTTCGATAGTGGCGATGCGAATGCTGTTGCCGATCAGATGGCAATGCTAGTGTTGCTGTCGTATTGATAAGACGCGCGAGGTGATTCGCATGTGTTCCAACCCTGGTGACCCGGGGTTGATGCCGTTGGGATTGAACTCGATCCTATTATGTCTCTTGGAGATCCTATCTTTCGAGACTGACAACGTTAGACAGGTCCAATTTGACTTCACGACACGTTTGGCAAAGGCATCGAAGCGGCTTCTGGCGTTGTACAGATCGACGTGGGTCAGCCTCCGCCCAGGTCGATCATGATCGACCTCCACCTCGGCTCACGCGCTAGTCGATTTGTGAAAAAAGCTCCTATCCCGACAAGGCCTGAGGGTCGTGGATACCCAAGCGATGTCACGAGTACCAACAGGTCGTACTCTTCTGATATGAGTGGCTCCAGTGAGCAAAGACCCTGATGTGGTGGCCTGGCAACATCGCGTTCCAAACAACGTCGAGCTGAGACGATCTGAACGATGACGTAAAATCGCCGGGAATCGGGGCTGTGGGCACTCACGTGACCGGTGAACGCCCCGCTGACGAAGATGCTGGAATCGCGCTAGCCTCGATCAGGAATTGGTTCCAGCGGAGAATAGATTCCAGTGAGTGAGTCACCGACAGCGGATCCGAGGGGACACAACTCAGACACCGAGGCGCGAGCAGGGAATGTCAGATAGGATGTTAGCGGGGTTTCGGTCGTACCTTGCATCTATAGGTATCGCTGCATGAAACTTGCTCATATTCGCTGCATTCACAGCTGCTTATCTGTCCAAGTGACACTATTTTTCGAGACCTGTGTACGTACTGGGTTTGGCCGGGACATCCGAATCTTTGTTTTGTCAAAGTCCCTGTTCGCTATCGCTCGTTTCGGATAGAATTACTGTGCGAAAGGCATGAAAGCCCCTGCATCTTATCCTGCTTTACAACATGGAAAGTTCTGTAATGTATCATTGTGATTGTCTGACTGCAATTCGCCTATGATGCGCCCCTCCTTGTAGTTGCCTTTGCGATCATTCCCTCGACCAGGACCGTATCGATATTCTAATTTCCCCTGCTTCCAGCCGGAAGACACGCGCTAACACGGCCAGACTACTAGAACTGGATCTAAATCCACTTTTCGCTGTATCTATTGAGTTCGGCCTATCCAGCGCGACCCTCAAAATTCACCGGCTCGTCTAAACCCTCGTGGAAACGCTCCAGCACCTCGTCACGGCGGCGGTGAGCCAAGTGCTCCATGAAAGTGGCAGGCTTTTTCAAAGATCCGACGTTGCACCATGGGCAGATAAAACTTTCTTCTGACGGCGGCGCAGTATCTGGTCCCCTCTGAATGCTGCAGGCCAAAAGACGTCGAAATCTGGGTGGCGACTCAACCATCTCCAAAGTTGACGGTCGGGAGCGTGAAACTTCGACTGTTTGTGGTGACCAAGGGTGAGACCGATAGCAGCGTACTGATGGTTCTGGTTGATCACCGTCTCGTCTGCCATACACTCGCTATTCCGAGGGAATTGCCGTCCAGGGGGTAACAATCCGAACGAGCGACGAGGCAGGTCACGATCAAATATCGGAACAATCAATTCAACGCCAAAGAGCTTCCCTCAAAGTTCGTTCACATACTACGGCTCGGAAAACGCCTAACCCCAACAGATGGACGATAAACAGACTTCCGTACCTCGACAAACGCTATTGTATGGGCTCGGTGGCAAATCACCGATCACCACAGATCAATGCCCACTTGACCTTGTTGAACGATGTACTATACAATTACCGATATTGATTGTCAGAGCCGCAATTGACAAGGGTCGACTGAACAGCAAGGAAACGCTAGTACCTTGTCGAGCAGACCACCCTTTCACTTGTGGGACTGCCTCAAAGGCCTCCTAGAAATGAGTATTCGCGTGACATGGCTAGCCGAAAATGGACCGAAGTATCATCCTTCAGCTTGAAGGTTCACGATACCTACGTTCTGTGAACAAAGCGCCGGTATCGACTCAATGATCATACCAGAAGACGATTCGTTACAAGGCGCTGGCGCGATGTGAACCCGACGCGCTGAGCGAGAGCGCCGTGATCGTCGTAAGGTGAGGATCCCAATCCAACAAGAACGGAATAGCAAAAGTGAACGAACGGATGATGACAATTCCATAATGCAGAATGCTGACTAGCTACGAGAGTGGCGGTCCAGCGCAGGTCCATCTATAGCTAGGCGCGATAGGACGTGCTCTGAAACGTGTTTCAGATTTGCGTTTCATTGCGGCCGCGCGGTTTCGTCCCAAACGGTCCGAAAAAAGGTCATATCCCAAGCGAACCGAACGGAACGAAGGCTTGATCTGGTCTAGATTAGCAACCAGAGACATTAGGTAAGATGATACGCGGCAGCAAGATTAGAGAGAACTTTCCACCTGCTGTTCACCACCCGGAGGCATTCTCCAGCCCTACTCGTACAGAAGAATACCCTGGCGCGGTGTACGAAAAGTCACCCTTATTTACTCAATGATGTAGATGTAGACGCAGCCTGACCAACGCTTGCGTGACTCAAACTGACTGAATGTATACGGAGTTGGTCGATGGTAATCAAACTTGCATCGAAGAGCGCTTCGCTCAACGTCGCACCACGGCGTAGCAAGCAGACGTCGCGCTCTGATCGGTTTTTGAAACGTTAACAATGCAAGCCGGATTTTACTGCCGAGTGTACCCATTTACATATCGTATATAAGCGCTGCGTGTACAAGTTCCTAGCGGAGATCGTTACCCTTGAAGAGACGAGGCTGTCATTCAACATGGGTCGGACCAGATCGATCGAACGGGGTCTTGCGTGTAGAACATGTATCATCATTACGCCCACCTTGGGCTGCTACAAAGTTACTTCATCACCACGAATACTTTCCCCTAGAATCTGTGCAAAGCAAGGAGAGATTCGTCAACGGGCTCGAGAAGGAGTATTACGAAGGAAACAGAACCCACTGCAAGAAATCAGAACCCCCTAAGCCCGATGAGGCGCCTCTTCGCTTCGTCCTCATCCTTGACCTTAGGGTTTGGTTCAAGAAACTCCCTTCACGCCCTTCAGCCCGAAGTCCCGACGAGCTGGTGAAAGATGTAGAAGCTCGGTTCCGCGGAGTATTATTCAGGGCTTCTAGGATGGAGGTGTCGGAGACGGGAATTGTCGTGCAACAAGCCTTGGCTGTTGAATTCGACACCCTAGTCCGGCGTTGCCTTGCGCTTGGTATCGTCTATTGTAGCGCTCTTGTGGTCGAGCTCGACCGATGGCGAGAAAACGGTTGATCTCCTGCGAGGTGACAAGCGAACACCATAGTTTCAGTATAGCGAAATAAAAGACGATCACGACGAGCCGAGTTGAACGAGGTCTTTCTACTGACTCACTGGCAAGACATCGACAACGAACGGCCGAGCGGGCCGAGCACGAGCAAGAGGTCCCTCATCTTCCCCCTCTTTCCCACGCTTGACTTTCGCTCCAGCTCCCAACGTTGACGCGAACCCCTAGTTGGACCCTCCGTCTGCAGCCTGAACCTCATCCCCGACCGCGGCTCCGCCTCAATGATCCCGTTTCCCCTCCCCGGCTTTGCAGCCCTCGATCCCCTTTCACAGCCTATCACCATCTCCAGCCTTCGACCCATGTTCAACCTGGATCTCCCTGTCCGCCCCTCGCAACCTCTTCATCTTCAGCCTCGCCTGCTCCATCTTCCACCCTTTCCGTTCCCGAACTCGACCCCCATTCCCAGCTTCTCAACCTCACCCCTCGACACCTTCATCCCGATTGAATCCCGCCCGGGTTTACCTCCCAGCACCGTCTTGCCCCCTTGATCGCAGGTAGGATCCGGTTTGAGAGGTGATGTTGTCGATGCAACAAGGATGGGCTAGCGGTCTCCTCCTTCTCTCTGCCGGATCGCGCCGATGAAGATGGACATGTAGATGGCAGAACGAGCCAGGTTCCTATCCAGTTCAGTCCGATCGATAGATAGCGATCGAGCGAGGAGAAGAATCCGCCGGTAACCCGAAATCGAGAATGAGGTCGAGGTCGAGTGGGAGAAGGTAGGACCCGGTCGAATCACGTAACGTCACGCAACCCTTATCCATCCCAGCGTGGAGGAGAAGAAGGAGGGAAGAAGGTATACTTGTGCTTATCGAGCGATGCTGGATGTCGTCCGCCTGAGCCATGCATCATCGTTTGTGAGATGTGGGTTGTAGAGTAGTCACGCTAAAAAGGTATGTCATCTTATCTTGAAGCTGAAGCTGGAGTGTTCCCCCTTCTCCCCTGTAGAGTTTTGTCCGATGATCGAATCGTGCTCTTCGCCAATAGTCGTCGTCGTCGTCGTCGTCGTCGTCGTCGTTGTGTTCACATTCATCGTGTATGTTGAATGTTGAACTTGCAGTGGAGTTGAATATAGATGTTCCCAGCCGGAGGTAGCTATCTTTATACCAGAAAACGATTGGGTTGAATATGATGTAACCTTGCCGGTGGATGAACACATCAACGAAGAGGTTGAATCGAGATCAACGCCTCAAATCCCTCTTGCTGATCTTCGTCTGCGTCTTGCCCGCTTGTTTCTCTTTCCCGATCGAGATCCTAGTTTTCGACCGGAAATTACACGATGAAAGCTCTCAGTCTTCTCCTATCTTTCGGTCCGGACGAAGCGAGTTGGCTGTGGTGATGAGCGATGATCGACCCAGAACTACATCGTCGGTCCAAGTTAGGATGTGTATGTTGGCGAATCTTCCGGTCGTCCAAATCCGCTCATGTAAATGTAGATGACCGGGAAGCTAGGTATATAGGTTCCGATCCGTACCAAGGTTGTAGGGGGCGAAACTCGTCAGACCTAGAAGATCCTCTGTGTCCATGCCGACCGGTTCCTGATCCCGTACTATGGGGTCCTCGATATCGACATCTTCAACCATCGCCCAACTCGAGCTACACACTCTCTCGGCCTTCTCCGCGTCGTTCTTTCCCGGTAGATTTCTGGTACAGGTAGTGAGCCGTCTTGTATTGAAGAGGATTAGCTCTGGACTTTTCATAGAATCCCGAACCCGATCTTGAGGAGTTTGTGCGTTGCAGTGATCGATGTGGGTAGATGAACCAATTCGATGGAGCGCTGGAGCATGATTATTCGGTGGTACCAGGTGCAAAGACGTAGGAGTAGAAGTCGGAGAGGAGAGATCGGGTCCGGAAGTGTCGGTTGTTGAGGATCAGGCTAGTAAAACGTAGAGCACCTTGAGCAGAACACTCATGAACCGGAGACCTCTCCTGGCTCGATGGCTTTTGGAAGGATCCCTTGCTTCACAACCACAGGAGGTCACGAGAGAAAAAGAGCAAGAGTCGGGTTGAAGCGGTGATCGAGCGAATGCCCAAGGTGGAGGTTGAGGTCACCGCAAGCGAAAGAATGATCCGGAAGCAAATTTAACATCCGGTCGATATATCGAATGTCGACCCATGCATACACAGCCCTCAGACTTTATCATGATCAACATCGTCGAGGCCGACCAGGTATATACAACATGCCCCCGGGTCCACTTACATCCAGCGATACGGGAACCTAGCACTAGTATATGCATGGTATCAGGATCAAGATCTACCTCGAAGCCCCGGAGCCGATCATCGTATCGGACCTTGCCGTAAAACCAGATCTTGCTCGTCGTCGAGCCTCGGAGGGTCCGACCTGACCCGAGGCTAGGCCTGTCCAGCCTACGTATCTGATCTAGCTCTTGCGTTCGAAAAGCCTTACATGAGGGGATCCGTAACGCTGCCCCAGACCAGACCTCGCGCCCATCCTGATCATTGTTGCTAGCCGGCTATCACCGCAAGGCTTAACAGAACCCGTCTCACGGATCCGACCGAGGTACAGTACCGTCCCGCCGAAGATAGGGTTGGCTTCGGATAAGGGCTGACTATGACATGACCCATCCTCCAGCCGATATCCGAACTTTAGGGGAAAAGGGTTCCCAAAAATTGTCGCTCGAAGTCGATGTCGATGTCGATGTCGATATTGATGTTGATACCGATAACGCGATCCTCCAGAAACCCCCACCTGTCCGACCCAAGCATAACGAGTGGCTCCCCTCTACTGCGACCCTCCCGGCGTGCTGAAGTCTTGTCTTGCCTTGTCTTCTAGCATTATCTTCCTCCCAAAATCGGGAAGAAGGGAGCGGCGAAGTCGACCCGACCCGTATGCTGTGTTGTGTTTTTTCATCCTCCCGGCTCCATTTTTCGTTTTTCGTTTTTCGTTCTTCATTCTCCGTTCTCCGTTCTGCGTTCTGCGTCCCCCGTCTTCGTTCTTTATTCTCGTCGAGTCGAGTCCAGTTGAGGCGAGTTGAGTTGGCGATCAAGGGACCTTTTATCAAACCGCCGTCTTATCAAACCGCCGAAGGTAGGCGATTTGGCAACCTCGGACTCGACCTCGACCTTGACCCCGAATCCCCGGAACTTAGAGCACCGCGTGGACATCCCTCCAGGATCGCTCGTGTGGAAGGAAAGACTGATCTTGACTGCCCAGGGCGGGGGCTCCATCGTCGTCTCTATTGATATCACCATCGATCCCCCGGTCCTTCCCTATCCAGTCGGTCTTTTTCTCTTGTACCGTTCGCTAATGTCCCGAACGAGCCGTCCGCATACGCTGTTACTCCCATATAGATTGAAGGGTCGGGTGACCTTCGGACAACCCTGACATCTGATACGCGGGATTCGGGATATCCTCTTTCGGAAGAGAGTCTCCAGCTTCGGTGTACCGCCAGCGTATCCGTAGAAGCTTCCCATCGCCTCTGTTTGCTGTCAATCTTTGCCATTGACCATCTTTTTATCCGGCGAAGAAGAACAAGTGAAGGACGGCTCAGACGAGCGAGATCTGGTTTTTCCGGTTTGAGATCTTATAAGATGTTCTTTTTGGCTGGATGTGATGTCCCATTTCGACTCGTTCGCGCCCCTTAAGCCAGAGGATATCGATCAAAGAGACGACTCCTAAAAGCACAGTACGGCGTGATAATCAGGGTGCTCTATCGTGGTGAAGCTCCGATCGACCCTTCGACACGGTCGACCTTGGTCCAACGCCGCATCCACCAGGAAAGATCGGAAAGGGGCTAAAATACTTGCTCTTGTCTCTACGTATCTCTCGTTCGACAAGAGATACCGGGCTACCGAGCTCCAACCTGGATGAATCGCTTAGGCAGTGTCGTTTTCGGGGCGTCGAAGATCGTCTGGTCTAGTTGTTGCGTGACCATACTAAGGCCCATCAGTCGAGCGGCCGGACACGCCTCGATCGGTGAAGGGTTCGGTAAGGAAATCCGGCTGAACACTTGGCGTTACGCCAGGTAGTTGTACGGGCGAGATTCTTGTACGCAGCCAAGATGGCGGTCATAGCAGTGTTGTCCGGGAACCTGGCACGGAAGTCGCGGATAGCGCCGATACCGACTCCAAAACCCACCCCGTATGGAGAAAGTAGTCTTGACCTTGCTATGTAAACGTTGTTTTCTTTCACACATGAAGTGTCGACGTCAAAGTTGTACGTCCTGGCATTCCGCTCTGGATCTTGATGTGCAGTTCCCGGTCCCTCTCTGCGGTGAGGCCGTTGTCGCTTAAACCGCACACGGTCGGCCCGGGATCGAAAGATCGTGCTGTTCGTACGGGGGTCGACCTCGGACCTTATCGACCGGCAGCCTTGACCACGACGTCTTCTTGCTCATTGGCGCCGTATCCCTGACTCGTTCGGTCGTAGAGTGCGATGGCCATCTCCAACCCGTCATGCCATGTTTGACTGGCCTGGCTGATTCTGAGTAATCGTCCGGCCGGTCGGCCAGTCTTGAATATCTATCGGCTCCAGCTGTTGTTTCGCCAGAGTGATAGTGGAAGGAGGGAAACCGCGCTTGATCCCTTTCCTCCTCCTAGACCTCCACGCGAGAGCACACCAACGACTTGGGTGGTAGGGCTGATCCGATCAATCCCGTGTAGAGCCCTTGAGGATGATAAGCGATACTTCTGGTATCTCGAAACCTGTTCGCAAAGAGCTTATCCTACTACCGCACGGATCGGCAGATGGATTCACGTTCGTTGAGCCTCTCCAGATCGGCGGCGAATCACCTTGTCGGCCATGCTCTTTGCCACCATGACGAATGGGGTTTCACGTCATAGGCTCCAAGTCGCCGTAATGGTGCGGTGCCTGCCAGACAACGTGTGGCACTCGTCAGTCGATATCGTTCGGGCTGAGCGAGACAGACTCGGCTCACCTGGAAGAGCCGTCGAGACATGCCTCGCTTTGCGTGACAAGGACGCCTTGATATTCGCCCAGTTTTGTCGGCGAGAGCGCTGCACATCTTGCCGGAACTCCCGTAGTCCCTCGGTCCCTGATGTACCGACCGCGACTTTCGTCTCCCAAGCGCAACGATATGATTCCCCTCGAACAAAGGAACTTCGGCAAGCAGACGGGATGTTTGACGTGTCTACGAAAACACCAAGACCGTCCAACCAGACAGCCGGCCTTGTCGAGATATGTGCCCCTTCGAGCCGGGCGTCAGCCGCAAGGAAGCCACTCGTCCGGTCCGCTTCCCATAAGCTCGGTCTTGCTTTGTGTAGTACGATAAGACTGGTGCCAGTCCCGTAAACCGCCCATCCGCTCGTTGTTGGCCATCTCCTGGAACGAGCGTGCCCTATATCGCTATAAGAGGACCCTTAGGTAGTTCTTTGCGAAGATACTGCGCATCCCGTCCTGCCTCTGGTAGCTCGAGCTGAACGGAGCCGGCTCGTTCTCTCCATTCCCTTGCCCTTCCGTTCCATCCTTGTGCCCTTGAAGAAGTACGTCTACTTGCACCCCGTTAGGTAGCCCCGGGAGTCTCGTCCGTCAATGTCCGCTGGATCGCTAGGCCGTGGTGGTGGTGGTTGTAAGCGTGATTAAGATTTTCATTGTGATTGAGGTTCCGGGTGCAAGATGTGGTTGTCCGGCCATGTCACGTCATCGAGTAACGAACCGCAAAACCGGGTAGAGTGGAGTGTCATAGAATGGAGGGCAGAGAAGAGTAGAAGATGGCTGTCGTGTTGTGGTTCCGTATCGTGAGTGTTCAACTCGTGGATCGTCGATATAGCGTATTCTACATGATGGGGGGAACATTCCGGTTCGAGATGCGAGTAGCCCGTGATCCGGTTCGCTAGTCTCCTAACATACGTGAACCGGTGTGAAACGAGGCCAGGGATATAGTCGGCGTCGAGGTGAAACGAAATGTAGACCAGGCCCGACACACGCACACAGGAACGCAGCTTGGAGGAAAAGGGAAGGAGAAGGAGTAGGAAAAGGAGAAGGGATCAGGAAAAGGAAAAGGGCAAGGGAAAAGGCGAAGCAGCAGGGAACGAGGAAAGAAGAACCCAATTCGAAGAGAAATAGGTAAAGAGGAAGAGGGAACCACGCTGCCCTTGTCTTGTGACTTATAGCTCACCTGACGACTCGATCCCTGGACCATCGACCTATCAACCCTTCAACCTTCAACCCTTCACCCTCTCGATGACGGAACGACCGGTGGCCTTCGCTTCATCCAATCGTCCCACAGTCGAATGGATGCAGGTACCTGCATCTCCGCCTGCACATGCACTTCGACTTCGTCTCCATCTCCATACCCATCACCATCTCCCCGGCTCGTTCCCCAGTGTTTCCGGGGGGTTCTCTTCTCGACCACCCTCCACCATGCACCAGTATCGACCTCATCACCCTGCACCCTGCACCTGCATCGACCTCATCACCAGCACCAGCCCCAGCACCAACACCATCACCATCACCAGCCCCAGCCCCAGCATCAGCACCGATAAGATACCTACATTCCAACAACAAGAATAAAATCCAAAACCACATGTCAGTGTGCGCAATCAATTTATCGTATCCCGATCCCGATCCCGATCCTTCGACCTCGACTTCGACACCGACCTCTACCTCGACCTCGAACCTCGACCTCGACCTCTCGGATCGAATTAAATCGAAACACCCAAACACCCGGAAATCGATATCGATACCAAGAGCTACTTACACTTACCGAGATAAGCCGGGCCGGGTTGGGTTGGGTTTGAGGGCCAACGTTCCGTTCCTCTGCTTGTCTGGACTTGTCTTGCTTCCAGGTGACTTGCCTTGCCTCGTTTCCATGTTACTCGACTTGTCTTGCCTTGCCTCGCTTCCAAGTAACTTGCCTTGAATTGACTTGCCTTGGCTTGACTTGCCGGACAGGACGGGACAAGACGGGACGGGACGACGTTCATAAACTAGATCCCGAACTTTGATCCGGGTTCGGATCTCGTATCATACCGTCCCCCGCTTGTAACGTAATGTGTTATATCCAAGTTCGACGGGTAGGTTAGGAGGAAGAATACGGGATGGGATGGGACAGGATGGGGTGATGGTAATTCCGACCCGCCCTGCACTCGTCTCGGAAACTTCCAGTGGTTCCCGGTTCGTCCCGATGTTCAAATGATTAGACCGGATTAGGGTATTCCATGATTGAGTTTTAGGTGGATGTGGAGGATGAGAATGAGGGTGAGGGTGGGGCTAGTCAAGGTGAGAGTGAGAGCGAGGACGATGTTTCCAGGCTCTTTCATGATTTGCGGATTCGACCATCCTGCGGCCTGCGGCACTGCGGTGATAAAAATTTGGGAAGAGTCAGATCGATGTTGCTTTCGAAAAAGATATGTTTCGGGGTAGGGTAGGAAGGCGACTTACCGTACGTTATCGCATGTCCAGCCATCTGGGAGCATCAAGTGCGAGTGTCCGACGGAAGAGATCGGGCGGTCCCTTTCTGCATTGCTGGCTGACTCGTGTTGCTCCTCGAACAACGTAGCTGCGGAAGAGGAGGATGACGATCTCGATTGTGACGGTGCAGAAAATGCATGTATATTATTCATATTATCATTATTGAGCCCGGTAATTGGCTTTCACGAGTCTTGTCAGAGTGTAGATCCCCAGGTTGCAGGTTGCAGGTTGTCGGAGTAGCAAGTAGGTGATAGGCCAGATAGGTGATGTCGAGGTTACCGAGCAAGTGATCTCTCTCTCGGTCGAAGGTCGAAGCCCCCAGCCCGCCCCGGCTCGCACCGCGGATCACTAAAGAAAAGAGAGCAAGATCGATCAAGGTCGGCGATCGACCCCTTCCATCGAGATCGCCGAACCGGGCGGAAGCTGATCAGTGCTAGTATCGCATGCGATAACAGATACGCGTCGCTCACGTCATCCCGCGACACGTTTCATCGGCGACGGGCGGCTTCGATGTGGCGCTCATCTCATAGCGGCGACTCGCAATTGTCGACACGGTGGCGCTCTTCCTGATTTCCTCAGCACGGTCGGTGGATAGACTGTGACCATCTTGGGATGCTAGATACCTACCACATGTGTGAGGTAGTGAGGACCGATAACCCCTCCCTCCGCTTGCTACCCCAAAAGACCAGACTTTCGTAGGAAGATCTGTTCCGCGATCCAGCTACGAACTGGATCGAGAAACAGACTCTACAACAGAACAAGGAAGAAAAAAACACTTAGTCAAAGCGATCTTTTGTGCTTGAAAAGCTGCTGCATCCATGCATCGACCACAAGGGGTTTGACGCCTCTCGAACCCCCTCACCCAAACGCAGAGTCGAGTCGGCTTCTCCGAACGCAATCCGAGATCTTTCTTCTTCTTTATCATGTCCGGAACATATAATCGACTTGTAATCAGAGGATATTAGGCAGCATCGACTGTCTGGGAATATATGTCCTCTTCCTTTCTGATCTTTGTTCGTTCGTCTTTCGTCTGGCGACCAGAACGTACAGTAGGGAAGAACCGCAGCGGGAACCCGGTCTACCCAATATACATCTCGATATCCCTACCTCCCGTTATGTATCTCAGTCACTAATTTCCCTTTTACCTTCAACCGGTTCCACTGATACGATCCCTCATCCTGGTATATTTATGTCAAGTCCCGGCGAGTGACATATTGACTCCGACAGTGATATCTCTTCATAAATACCGGCGCGATCTTCGCTCGGATCGACCTGCCAGGCAAGCCCTTCATAAGTCTGATCTCGACTCGCTCTTCAACTTCAATGTATCGAAGCGACGATACCCTTAGATCACTCTAACTCCAAAGGAGGTCTTGGCCCAAAGCGACGGTGGGAGCTGTCGTTATCGTTGTCGATGTTGTCTATCTCCTGCAGACAGACCGACGAAACGTAAAGGTCTTCTTCGCTACAGTAAGATCGCTCAAAAAGCCCAAATACAGTCTGGCCTATTTGATACACACGTGCCTCGTCTTGGAAAATATAGAGTTGTAGTTGTGTGACACCTACCGTTCACGGATGATATCACATTATTGAAAGCATACGGAAGTCCACAGTCAACGACCCACGGCAGTACAGTCTCTTGCCTACAGTATCACACCAGGCCACTACTTTACCCACCTGCTCTTCCTGCCCGTACATCGAACTCCGAAAATTCGTCTGCTGATCTCGAATAGGGAGCGGCATCGCTGTGAATCGAGGATAATCTCATCAACCAGGAACATTCACTGCTTCAATCAGTACGCCGTACCTGGGGACACGGGGACGACCGGGGAACACCTTCACGTACCCCATATCACACCCACCAGCTCAGAGATACACCAGTCTCGACTCCCTTTCCATTACCCCAACCAGGATCAAGTGTGTATCACTCTACAACGTACCAGTACACCCGGCCGTATCTATCTAGTTGCGATGCTCGGTCATAGTATAGTCTCTTCATCTCTTTATCGAGAATAGATACAGGCAGGCCGGGAACGATGATTACAATACCATACTGATCGCCATCGTGTCGTATCGTATCGTATCGTATCGTATTGTTAACCGAAAAGGAAAAGTCGGCGATCTCGTCTCATACTCCTACACCTATCAAGTGGGGGAACATAAAAGGTGTCTAAAATCAGTTCTGCGATCCGATACCCAGGAAAAAGGCTAGTTCAGGGTGTGTACACTCACATGCCGGACGTTGAACGGTGGTACTTCCGCGCAGATACGACACGCTGGTCTGTCTTTCGTATTCCTGAGCCGTATCCCTCTCTCTATCGAGAAGAGCGACAGCGCCATTAAACTCTGTCCACACCCGATGATGCAGGCTGGTAGTACCGTGTAAGAAGCCGCCGGGTTCGTCGAGCGTACGCCATGTCCAGTATCAGTATCAGTATACCGACCTGAGACGAAACGCAACACAATCCGAACCGAAGAAAACGAAGAAGACGAAGAAGATGAACAAATCCATCAGCTCATCACAGTACGGCGTGTGCGATGGTAGCGGTGGTGGTGGTGGTGGTGGTGGTGGTGGTAGTGATAGTGGGAAGATCGTCACCAGACCGTCCCCTCACTAACCTCTATCGGGGTCCGGGCATAGAGGACCTTTACCCAATTCCCTCCAGCCCAGACGTCTCTATGGGGACTTTTCATCATCGGCCATCCGTTGATTCGAAGGAGGTACAGATCCGATTCAAGCCGAGGGATCGGAAGGAAATTCGATGTCAAGGAAGTGATGGAAGATCCGGAGATGTGTACGTGGGTCCGGGATGTCGGCGTGAACGGCGGAGTTGGCGGTGGTTTTCCGGAGCGGGCTGGTTGGGCTCGGGTGGGAGTACCAGTAACAGTGACAGCGATAGCAACAGCGATTTCGAAGTCGACGTTGACGGTAGCCTCTTTGGTATGATGTCGACTAGACCCCTGCACCCGGTGTTTTCACGTGCGGTTTCTCCATGTCCGCCACCAACACCAACATCGACATCGACATCGACATCGACATCGACATCGACATCGACATCGACATCGACATCGACATCGACATCGACATCGACATCGACATCGACATCGACATCGACATCGACATCGACATCGACATCGACATCGACGTGGACATCGAAGTGGACGTCCAGATCCTCAAACACAGGCAAGCGGCCTTCCTCATCTTCATCTTGGTCTGCTCAAGTCCGCCATCGAAGTCCACCTTCCCGATCGAGGTCCACCTTCCCTTCCACGTTCCCTTCCACCTTCCCTTCCCTCTTGACTCCCTCCCAGCTCCACCTCCATCCCCGTCCTCCATCCCCATCCCCATCCCCGTCCTCCTCCTCGTCCTATTCTCGTCCTCCTCCCCTCGTCCTCCATCCTCCTCCTCGCTCCGTCCAGCGCCGTTAGACAAATCTCAACCGAGACCCGTCCTCCCTCGTCCTCCTCGACCCATCCCTTGTCCTCCATACTCGTCCTCATCCTCTTCCTCGACCTCCCTCGACCTCCCTCGTCCTCCTCCCCGTCCTCCCCCAATCCTCCCCCGTTCCATCCGAAGCCTTTGAACAACCCTCGAATAACCCAACCGAAACCCGGGCCGATCCGATCCGGAAGACCGCTTGCTGCTTCTCTCCCAACCCCCGCCATGGGGGACACGAGAATGTGTGTGTGATCTTAGGCCACCACGCTACGGGTTGGGTTGGAGAGTTGGAGGTCGAGGTCGAGGTCGATGGGGTTGGAGGTTGGGTTCGAGTTCTCGTGCTCCTTCTCGTGCTCCTTCGAGGTCGATCTTGACTATCGACTTTCGTCTGTCCGCCGGGTCTCTTTTCACTCTTTTCAGATGCAGATGCATACGCAGAGACAGATGCCGATGTAGCCGATGCAGAGCTGAGATGAGAGAATAGGAGACGAATAGAGGTCGGATATAAAGCGGTGGTGGGCCGGGCGGTGATGGTGCCGGTCGTCATTGTGATAGGTCAAGTGGTGGGAGGTGGTAGATGGACGGCCAGCGGAACCGATATCCAGGACAGACAGAGCCGAACGATCACCGACTTGCAGGCAAGAGGGGTCCGGGAGTTGTAATGTAATCGACGGTATGATATCAAGTCGGTGTACAGTAGGGGTGGGCGATAGGCCGTAAGGTAAGGTGGAAGACATCATCCGGAATCCGGAAGGGTTCACTGTCACCGGGGAAGGGAGGAACAGTAGCGTAACATAGGGGGGCCGAGCACAAAAGTCGATTCGATGAGCGATCTTTCTCTCTCCAAACTCAAGCTCTATACAGTAGTATAGAGGACCCGCGATATCAACCCCGACTCACTTACTTGTTGTTCCTCGTTTCTTTTCTTCATCTATCCCCCAATATAATCGCCTTATATGAAACCCTTGCGACCAGTCTCGTTCCCGGACCCGATTCGTCTGGCGGTAGACCTCATCACCGTCCTCCGTTTTCCCTTTTCCTCAAGCCGAGCGAGGACGATGGTGGGGTGGGCGGAGAGGAGTTGCTAATTCAGATCATACCGTCATTTTCTTTGATAGAAGGGATGGTGCGGTGTCTCTCTGTGATCTGTGAAGCTCAGGGGTGGTGGACGTTGGGATGAAGAGGTCAAGGGCGACGATTGCATGATCTCTACCTCGACCTCCACCTCCGACCTCCACCTTGCGGTGATGACGGCATCGGTGCGGATGCAAAACAGGCGAATGCCGACGGTTGTGGTGGTTCTTCAGCTACGAGCTCGCAATGACGTTCCTATGTCACTTCCCTACCCTACATCTTCTCTCTCTTGTCTTCAATAGCGATGTGATTATGATTGTGATAATACATACTCCTACTATGCCATCTGTGTTCCGTTTACCCTCCCTTGCGTCCAAAACCGGGATTTGAGAGATCGACGAGGAGGACCCCGACCCAAGAGATTCGTCGATTCGTCATCGCTTGCTCGCTTGAGGCAGATCAAATCTCAACTATACGCTACCACTCTCAAATCCAACCCTCCCTACCTACTTCTTCCCCTGGTTCCACACGCTATTCAATTTTCAAGTTCAAGGGCGTCTTGATCAACCGAAGGCCTAAGGACGGAGGCAGAGGAAATCCCCTCGTCTGGTCTCTTATCGGCCCACAACATGCCAACCATCCACACGCAAGGTGTCCCGTCCCGTAGGGTAGTCTACAGTAGTTCTTCTTCTCCCATCCCATCCCATACCTAGCCAGGCGGCGAAAACCTCGAAACCTCGGGTCACACACCACACCGGGTACACCGCATCGGGTTTGGAAGGTAGATTGCGATTGAGATTGAGATTTTGCCGAACCACACACCAGCGCCAGGCCGCCAGGTTGACGATCGTCACGACTCGATGCACCGCGAAACGTGGAACGTGAGATCAAAATCAAAATCAACCCCTAATCCAGGAAAAGGTGCCATTCACATCAAGATATCGCCCTATGGCCCTTTTCGCCTTACGCCTTACTGTAGGCATCATCGTCGTCCGGGTGAGGGTCCGGGTGAGTATAACCCCGCAGACACCGCTGACACCGCCGACACCGCTCACACCGCCAAAACACCGCAGATACCGCCGACACCGCAAACACCGCCAACACCAGCAACACCGCAGACACCGTCTACACCGCCAAAACACCGCCAACACCGCCAACACCGTCAACACCGCTAACACCGCAGCCGACCTTGAACTAAAAATGGGTGGGATCCGACTCTTTGAAGACTTCCGGGACGTCTTGCATCTAAATCTAAATCTGAAAGGGCGTCCCCCGCCCTCCGCCCTGGATCGAGGATGGATTATCGTGACGTGATTTGTTCGGGTAACATACTTGAAATTGGAGTTGGGGTTGAAGTTGAAGGAGGTGTTGAGGAAGGTCGGTTTCTTGGTAAGTTCCGAAACAGAAGAAAGGAATGGGGAGCGGGAAGGTCCTTTCGGGGGAGAATGTATAAGAAATACCGTACCGAAGCTGATCAATCGTTGTCTTTACACACTCATACGCCGACTCGTATACAGTCGGTTGTGGCGACGATACCGTACAGCACCCGCCTCCTCCGACGTCGGCTATGAAGCAGCAAATCCACTGAAGACGGAGACCAGACGGGCGGCAAATGCTGTACACCTCGTTCATATGATGCACGACCGCAATTCTCGGCATTGATATTCCATCACCCGCCTGATGGCAGAGAAGACGATATTTCCCTCTCAATCCTTACAACGTACAATAAACGACCGAGGAAGGATGTACTTCAGGTCCACTCACCCTACAGTGCGCCCGATCACCATCTTGCTCCCAGAATCAGAGGGAAGAACGGGGCGGAAACTACAATACGTGGAGGGAAGAGGAGACAAGCGAGGCTAGGAACAAAGTACTCAATGGAGAAAGAAGCGGTCGAGGTCAAGGGGACAGGCGAAGGAGTTTTGTGCGGGAGGGTTGCTCTGGTAGCTCTGGGATCGGGATCGGACGGCTGGTATTACCGTCGATACCTCCATACCTGCCTATGGCCTATGGTCTCGTCTCGTCTTCCGGCTGATTCCTACTGTGGATCTGTGGATGGCTACTGGGCCGCTCGAGGCTGATGATCTCGGCTCGCTACCTCCATCTCGACCTCGACTTCGATCTCACCTCGGCTCCAGGTTCATCATCATCGACATGGCCAGGATCGTCGACCAAGGCCACATTCCACCCATCTTCTTCTTGTGAATCGCGATAGCTCCCACCCGTTCTTGTCACTATCAACCATCGCATGGCCAGTCGACCCTTATCGGTCCTCTGCCGGGATCTTCTTCAGCTCTTTCCACCGCTGCCGATCTTGCCAGCGACGTCAAGATAGGACTTTTTCACCCATCGATCTTCACCTCGTCAGCGTTCCACACAAGGTCATCAGCTTTACCCGGACCACTAGCATTAGCCTAGCGGATTCTTGAGCGCCTCGCGACTGCATCGCCAATATCTCCTTCCCTCGTCATCATCTTCTCCCCTACTACAAATCGTATTCCGTGCCACCGCCGTCTCACATCACAGCTATGAAGACTTGTCCGGACCTGCAAGGAGGGATTCGACGCCGAGGTGTGAGGGTCTCCGAAGCAGAATGGCTCGGAGTCGGGGAAGGAAAAGGCGGTACCGAGCTGTTGAAGCAGAGCCAGATGACGTCAAAGTCGGGGAAGGAATCCCAAGCGGGATATGATACGGGGATCAGCTACGAGCCGCTGAAGCAAGGCCGATCCGAGCCAGAAGGGGAAGCACGTTTTAAGGGAATCGAGGAGGGTTCTTGGCCAAGAGTGAGTTCGTCAGGGACAGCTGAGAATCAGACCCGCGCTCGATGTATATGCATGCAAGCTGGGAGTACTGTATCTTGACGAGTTGCTCATCCTCCAACCTTGATCATCGTGTCTGCCAGGTGGATTCGCCTCAAGGTCAAAAACCGGTTCTACACAAAATCACCGAATTCGATTGGTCTCTCACTCCCGTATGCGGTAAAGCTCCTCTGATGGGCACATGATTCGTCTCCAAGCTCTGACTCGGATTTAACAACCAGTGAGTCGACCCGTACGGTCCTTCTCTATTCCCGCCTTCCTTCCATAACGTTGCTGACCGTCCGTTGCGTATCCTGTGCCATAGGTTTGCTGTTCTTCCATCTCGGACTTGGGGCTTCCGAGTGCCACATCCAGTAGCGGAGGATTCCGGCATAATTCGTGTCGCTTGCGGTGTCCTGACTGTCAGCCGGCGGCATCGCCTTGAAGACGGTCGGACCAAGCGAAGTCCTCCCTCCTGGTCACCGCAAGCTCAAGGCCAAGCTACCAGGTGGTAAGAGCTGCGGCTGCAACCAATCCACCTGATCGTGGATGCAAGCGACGGGCCGTGCCGACGTCAGGTTGCACAACTGTCTCAGCAGAACGACTGAATCCCGTCAACGGTGCCGCCTTCCTTGCAAGCGCTCCGGCATCGAGTAAAGGAGTTGGAAGAGACCAGAAAGTGAGCGAGGCTGGAGTCTGTGCATAGTGCCAGTGCCGAGACCGAAAAGAATGTCCGCTTACGTTCTGTCATTGCTGCCTGCAACCTAGTCACAGGTGCATTCACTGAAATACGGCAGCCGACACGAACCCACTGCGAAAGTGACATTCCTACCTCAAGCTTTCGTCAAGGTGGACACGAAGAAGATCGTCGGCTGTACACGTTCTGGCGAATCTGGAACGGTGGTCTCCTGGTCCCCTTGTGAGGCTCCACCTCGGCGGCTGTTTAGGCACCTTTATCCGTGAACCATGAAGTATGCCGGCCACCAAACGATTCGACTTGCCTCCAAGATCATTGCTTCCTCCTCGCGGCTCCATCGCTAAACCTGTCTTCTCGTTTCAACATCTCTTTGCCGTTATTCGAGACGACTTTTCTCAAGGACAAGGTTGAAGCCCTGTGCCGGATCGGTGTAAGCGGAGAGGATACCGTGATGCAGTTTCCGCCTAGGAGAAGGGCCCCCAGGGCCATACCATTCGTGAATCTCTCAGCTCTTCTCCTATGCTCTTTCACCTTGAGCGGATCTGTGGTGTGGCTAGACAGCAAAGGCTTGACGGTCGGTCTCGTTTCGCAAGTCTCGCGGATGGAATCGACCTGTGGGCCCATCTGATATCCATATTCTATTCGATTTCCTATTTTTAAGACGAGCTCTTATTACCCAACTCCCCCAGCCAGAGCGATAGCTCTTTCCCAGACGACCTTGGCCGTTACCGGACTGGATCAAGCCTCCATGCGTTGACAGTACGTCTAGCCTGCAGCCCTTTGGCTTAAGCGATCCGCTTTGTATCTCGTTAACGACCCGTCTTCCGGTGACCAAATAGACCAGCTTCGCGTGCGACCCTCGAAAGATGCTGTTCTTCTCCGCTGCTTTACGGAGGAGGTAAGCAGGTTTCGCTTTCATGACTTGGTCCTTTCCTGAAGGCTGATTGTCTTCTTGCGCATTGCTTTGGGCTGGGTTTGACGGGAGTAAGGCTTGTGTGGCATGCTTTTGGCCATCCTTGAGGGTGAGGAGAGTGTTCGGGACGTGAAGTGGCAAAACTGCACACCGATTCCAGGTGGGTGGGACGGTTGTGAATATCTTGCGCGTTGACAGCAGATCTGAATGCTGACCTCTCTTTCTTCTCCGCTTGCATCATACTTTGCAGTGCAGCATGCCTTGGCGGATTTTCGCGAACGGTTCAAGCGACCGGGAGGAAGGACCATGAGCAATGATGGTTCGTTATAACTACCCAGGTCAGTATTTCTTGCGAGGCTTGTAAAGTGGAAGTATGCCGGCTGATCGTTTGATCGATTTCCTGTGTATCTGGTCCAGATAAAATCTGCGAACCCGCTTGACATCAGGATCGCCTACAATGTGGCGGCAGCTCGCCACCTGGGAGCTAAGCAGACCGTCAGGTCGGAGTGGCCCTTCGATCGCCTGTGTGAGGACCGACTCCTCCCGATTTGAACCGTCGCAAGACCTCGGATACAGCGTGCAACGCAGACAACTGCGGTATGGGTCTAAAGACAGCTTGTGGTAGGCCTATCTTCGTTTGGGGTCAGTGTCTGGTCAGGGCCGTGCTGATGTGTATGTTCCGGAATCCATAGATCTGAAAGAGTGTAGCCACGGCTAGCTCAAAATGATCTGCATGGCTCCAAGGCGGAAGGATTGTGGCACCCCGAGAAGAGGTCACAAGGAAGCAAGAGGCGATATCATTATGGAGCGGTTTGAAAGTACAAAAGGTGATTCATGACGACGCGGAGTTCGAAGCGCTCTTTCAGGAACTCATACCCGAATCTGTCTTGGTAGATCAAGTAACACGAGGATCTTGTCGGAGGCGGGGAGCATCCACAGCTCGAAGAGCAGATCGCCGTCGTGGCGCAGCAAGTCATCAAGCTCAGCGGTTCCACGTAGACTCCAGCATCCAATTCCGAATATCAGGGAACCGTCAGATGTGACACCTCCGTCCAGGATCATCTCAAGGTCACGGCTTAGATCGTTTCCAACGATGAACAGTTTACGGGATTCGGCCGAATGATCTCTGAGCACTCGACACAAATGCCTTGCTGTCCAACTTCAGGAACAAAATACATGAAACATTCACATCTCGAGCGGGTCATCAGGATCTTCCAGATCTTGAGTATAGCAAGCCAAGGGCGAAGAGACCGTGCGATTAAGGGAGGAGCTGTACGTGGCGGTTGGGGATCAAAGAAATAGTATGTTTGGACAGCTCACGCTCGTGCGTAGCGCATGTAGCATGCGGTCTGACCCTATCCTTGCTCCTCGCAGTAGAACGCTGCCACGCTTGATCGGACAGTGCACGCAAAGTCTACGTCCCCACAGCATGGTCTAGGCTACTGTATCTTGGACGCGCTCGGGGTCACGGCGTAGCGACTTGTAACCTGCCGGGGTGATATCATGCAAAGGGCTTTCTAGGCTCACTTAAACGCACGACAACCGGTCATGTGGAAGCAAGACGTCGAGATCGGGCCAAAGCTCAGGGTCACAAACGGCATGATTCTTGCGCGGCATATGCGGTGATACATTCGACCCGGACCCGCATGCCCTTTCCCGGTGGAGAATCCTTGTTCGCCGAGTCAGGAGTCGCCTTGGAGCTGTACTAGGTCGAACATTCCGTCTATGGGTGGCAGACATTCCTAGATTCTCGTCTGATTGAATGAGTACCTCCCGTTCAGTTTGGAACCGAAAAATACTGATCTAGATCGAGCGCTTGGATCAAAGGCATCATGGACCCAACAGCCAAATCCTAGACGTATCATGCGTCTCTCAAGAGAGGTGATTCCCAGGTCTCCGTCGGACTGCGCTTCGGGTCTATTTCCTGTCATACGATTCCTAGCCATGATTACCGTCCAGGATAAAAGTCATATGATCTGGGATTGGACCTTGAGCTTGCTAAGGGAGTTGGCTTTACGCGTCCAACTATGGAGATCGGGATTAACGACTTAACGGTGTCTAGCAGCAGCCCAACTTATACCAATCGTATGGATCAGAGAATACCACTTGATCGTTTTTGTGAGAGTCCGACCAGAACGGTGTCACGTAAAGTTGCCCCATTTACACAGCGCACGATCCATACGTTCACGCTCCCGCCGTAGAAGGCAACGGTACACTCCGGCATACCACATTGCAAGCCGGAGAAATGGGAAGGTTCAAACCTGCAGTCCGCATGACGAGTCTCGATATCGTATCTGGCGGATGAGAACTCGGCATTGAACGAGTCGATGTCATGACATCGTCTGGGAACCAGATCTGACATGGTGACATACAAAGCGGTTGGGTTTCTTCTTTTGCCTTAGAGTTCTTGACTTCCGAGCTCCCAAGTCCGTATCATAGTTGTCATATCGCTCACTTTCGTCACCGTGTCGTCGAAGATCGATTGAGACGGTCTTCGATTTCCCGGGCTTTTTCCTCTTTTTCCTCCAAGTCCGAGCCACCTCCTCTTCAGCATAATCTTCTGCATGAGCTTGTACTTCAAGCCCATCGCCCTGATAGCTATCGTCCCTCCTGATTTCCGGCCAACGGTAAAACCCTTTTTGAGTCGATCGGTGATGTGCCAGAGCCATGTTGGAATGGAGAATATTGACGACCGCCGTCAAATCCCTTTCGCAAGTCTCAGCCCGACGCATCATCCCTCCCTTTGCCCTCTCCGGATTCTCAATCTGCCCCGCCCTTTCAGACATTCCTTCATTCTCCTCCTTAAACGTAGCCAGTCCTTGCTCTGAACTCTCGACCGGCCGCACGCTTTCAAAGATGTCGCTTTTCAAGCAGGCGATTGATGTCTTATGGATTAATCCTTTCTTCATCCCGCCATTCTCACTTTGCGAGGGACCGTCGTTTTCCGTTCAAGGCAGTCGCGGCAGCAAGATCACGTTAGGATCACCGCAGAAACCTTCGCTGATGCCGAACGGTGTTATCCAGTTAATGGAGTAGCCTAGAAGCGAGCATGTTGTCCAGCCGACACCGCGAGTTGATCGGAAGTGCATGTGCATGCGATAACCGCGAGAGTAACCGGCGATGTCAATTGAGCCGAGCCAAGTCATGATTCCAGACGGGCCGAATCGAGGCCAAGGTGACTTCCGCACATGTCATTGCGGATGAGCAGATCCAGTCCGTAAGAAATAAGGAAGCGAAAGTCCCTCACACTCTTCCCGGACACCACGGTCCTTTTCCACCTCGTCCGAATCCGTTCCAACTCGATCGGGAACTCCTCGTCCCCCCAAGTTTCCGCACCCTGAAATCTGTCCACGGTATCCATCATCTCCTCCTCAACGAAATTCTCCTAGCCTCCGTCTTCGTGCCTGCCAAAAACGTTTAAATTGAACTTTCCCCGGCAAAAGTCATCTTGATCGCTTTCTTTCGAGTCTCCTTCGATTTTCCCCTCTCCATTCACACCTTTGTCCTCCGTTCAATCTCGAAGACGATCCACTCATGAACCATAAAGCGAGCGGTGGGTCCTGTTCGCCAATTTGAGAGACGCGATCGCCTCTTCCCTTCCTTGCCTCGTCCCTTCCTGGCAATGCGAGCGAATCTTTTGAAATCCTCCTCTTCATCGAAACCGGGGCAGGCGATGCTCAAAAAGCCGTAGAGTCGAGGTCACTCGCGGGGGTGAGGTCGATCAAAAGGACGTGTGCCGATTCAGGTCCTTTTGGAATGACGTTGATAACCCGCTTTGCGAAGTCGGCGAGGTCGTACGGTGTGCGGTGTTGTACCTAGACAACCCTAGATCTGGCCTTTTCCGTTAAGGTCGAACTTCGACAAGCTCAGATATTTCGAAGTCGAAGTTCAAGCGACGTGACACCAGATCCAGGTTTCGCGGCTGAATTCCACCATCCGTCCCAGATCCCACCCGAACCCCAGCCTCAACCTCTACGCCGACCCCCAAAACCCGCCCCAGACTCGCCCCCTTGAAGCTCCAAGAGGTAGCCTCGCCCGATCCAGCTCGTAAACCCATCACCTCCCCCTTCTCCTTCCTGGGGAAACACATTGTGTACGCTCCGATCGACCCTTTCCCAGTAGTCTAGACCGTTCTTCCAAAATCGACCCTCTCCCCGCACACACACCACACCACACCACACCCCATCACACCACACCAAACCACACCACGCCCCACCACACACCGTCCCGTCCCGACCTGTCCCGGCCTTCCGGTCTGATAACCCTTCTTGTATATCGAATCGTCTTCCCCTTAAGAGCTGTCGGCATGCCTTCCCCCCCTCACCTCTTCCGTCCCTTCCGAGATTATCGTCCGCTTCAAGTCCCGGTTCACAACAGTGAACAGTGTCCCCCCACCACTTAAGCGGTTCTTCTCCATATTCCATCTCTTTCAACTCCGATCTCGACCTCGCCCTTGGATCTTGAATCTGGAGTCTTGAATCTCGAGTCTTGAATCTCGAATCCCGAGTCTTAAATCCCTCCCCTTGATCCCCGTGAAACGTATCCGAACGAACCACACAGATCCTCACACAAAAGGCGTATGGGTGTGAAGGTGTGTATCCGTACGTCAAATCCCAGTCCTAGGCACTAGTATAGGGTATGTGATCCGATTTCGATCCGGGTCCAGGCCTGGTCAGGTCGGTCCGGTCCGGTTGGGGATTTCGAAGACCCAGACGGGTTTGGGTTGAGTTGAAGCCGAGAAATGAGGGATGAGATGAGACGAGACGACCTCGAACCGGGTCGAGTTGAGTTGAGTGGGCTGGGAGGGACGAGCTCGAGACCCGCCGGGACGAGCTAGGCTGGCTGAGAGCCTCGGGATCTCCCTTCCTACTACCGATGAGGATGGAGACGAGGATGACGTTGGATTTGAGGAGTCCGTAGAAAGAAGACTTGTCCCCGATCCGATGAACAGTCCCCTTCCACCAGAGCGGATAAGATTGCAGTCGCCAATAAGCCAGTACCCATCCGTCAAATCGACCGCCCGAACAATCCCCGTCCGCTTTGATGTTTATGTTCCTCTATATTTATATTATAGCTCTTCTCGTTCTCGCTGAGTCCGGTATCTTTCGAGTTCAGCGTCCGTCACTCCGTCACCTCGTCATCTCGTCACTCCGGATCTTCTTTAAAGGATGTTCGGTTTGGTTTCCATATGTCGGTAGGTAGGTAGGCATTCGGATAGGTAGGTGGACAGAGGGAGAGGGAGTTCCGACGTCGAAGTTGCCGTTGAAGACCAATCGGATAATCGGATAGCAGGGGCCGAAAGAGAAGACCCTGATCCCTATTTGCTAACTGTTTGCTGATGACAATAATAATAGTGCACGTTTTAAGAACCCTCGCCCCAGCTCCCGGTCCGTGGTCGTGGTATTATATTATATTATATCCCATCCCAAGCCGACCAAGTTCATATTATATTGTTCGGTGCATTCGTCCGAGTATTGTTCTACGTGCGATGTTGAGGAGAGGAGTCGCTTCGCTTCGCTTTGTGGGTCTTATGGGAAGATTGTTCTTGAACCTTGAACCTGAAACTTGGAACTTGGAGCCCGATCAGGTGTGGTAGGATGTGATGGTCTCGGTGTCTCCCTATCTTGACACCGCTTATAGTCAAAACATCCTCTTTCCGAACCAGATCCCGGTATCATACTGTGCGGGGCTGTGCTATGCTATGCTGTGCTGTGCTGTTTGCCCATAAGTCGATCCCGAAGGACGTGTCTGGAGATACCCGGAAGAGTCGTAGAATCCACATAATATAGAGACTGGAAGCCGTATTCCTGTATACGCAAAAGCAAAAAGATCGCACATCACATGTTGGCCCTTGCCCTTACCACCCGTTTTGCCCTGCTCGCACAGATGTGTGTCACGTATGATTTCATTCCTTTCCCCCCTTGTCGTCCTAATGTACTACTACTCTTGTGTATTTCTTGACCCTGTCACAGGCTTCCTCCTTGATATTTGGTTGTCCCTCCGGAAAGCGGCAAACACGTACGGTCCGAGGTCAGGCTCATCGCAAGTCTTGAAGGTTCACCGATCCGAACTATTATTTTGACCGTCGGGTGGTTTTCCCATGTTTCGTGATTACAGAGGAGATCTGAAGAGCTTGCTAAGTCACTCAATCACTGGATGTTGATTTCGAAGCGGTCTGTGTGTGTAGGGCAGGATGCGAGATGCGATGGGTTGTGGATGATACTCGCACTCGTTGCTAGATGGATGAACGAGGGTGGAGGCGAGCTACGAGGTAAGAGCCCGCCTCCTCCTCCACCTCGACCTCCACCTCTGCCGTCATCAGTCACGTAAGATTACGTGAGAGCGTTTCGAGAGACGGGAAGTGGAGGTCGACAGCTTCACTATCCGTCATATCGTCAACCTCGCAACCTTACAACCTTGCAACTTGCAACTTGCATCATCAATCGCAGGACAAGACGTGTACACACTGCTGTTCA